ATCAGCATGCTTTTTGCAAACCTCTCGTTATGTTCTGGTGACCCTTGTCACTGGAACTCAAAAAGAGAGAAAATCCAAAATTTTGAGTGGTCATCAGAACAATAATAGTGGGTCCCTACTGGAGATACTTAAGCTCTTGTTGTGTCCTGGTACCTATTGTCAGTGGAACTCAAAAATAGACAAAATCACTGAAACTCAAAAGAGAAAATCCAAAATTTTGTGTGGTCACCAGAACAGGAATACTAGGACAATTTCCCAATTAAGGTTTTAGCTCACTTTGGAGAGATTTCTTCTCACTTTGTATTCTAACGGTCAGAAAGTGAAAGGAGAGCCCCCCAATGAGACACAGAAGACAAAAAAAACAGGGTTTTAATAATTCCTTACTGTATCCACGATTTCCCACATTATGTGTCTTATGTTAGGACAGCAGGGGCGGACTGACCATTTGGAAACTCGGGCACTGCCCGAGGGCCCGGGTCAGTAGGGGGCCCCATGAGATGCCCCTGGTACCTTTTTTCATAGGCTTTTTTGAGTTTGGGCAAGGACACAGGGGCCCCCATGATCCCCTATTGCCCCGGGGGCCCCATGATTGTCAGTCCGCCCCTGGGACAGCCTATTCCTTTTGAATGGACTGCCAACCCACGTTTCTCAATGTCTCTATGACACAAAGCAATGATTTGCATGGCTCCAGCCCAGAGGCGGACTGACCATTTGGAAACTTGGGCACTGCCCAAGGGCCTGCGGTCAGTAGGGGGCCCCATGAGATGCCCCTGGTACCTTTTGCATAGGCTTTTTTGAGTTTGAGCAAGGACACAGGGGCCCATGATCCCCTATTGCCCGGGGGCCCCATGAGTTGTCAGTCCGCCCCTGGGACAGCCTATTCCTTTTGAATGGACTGCCAACCCACGTTTCTCAATGTCTCTATGACACAAAGCAATGATTTGCATGGCTCCAGCCCAGAGGCGGACTGACCATTTGGAAACTTGGGCACTGCCCAAGGGCCTGCGGTCAGTAGGGGGCCCCATGAGATGCCCCTGGTACCTTTTGCATAGGCTTTTTTGAGTTTGAGCAAGGACACAGGGGCTCCATGATCCCCTATTGCCCGGGGGCCCCATGAGTTGTCAGTCCGCCCCTGCTCCAGCCACTATCCTCAAATAAGGATAAATTCCCATAATTTTCAGAATTTTTGATGGAAGGTTTGATATGTGAATACCTCCAACTCAAACTCACGATACACCAGTAGCATTTCATTCAAACATTCAGCAGAAAAGTCCGAAAAAACATCCAAGAGTACATTTATGGACTAAACAAATTTTCTAAACCCCCTGAAAAACTGGTTGCTATGCCAAGGTTTTGACTTCTAAAGTCGATTTGGAGATGCATATGCGTCTTACAATAAGTATGATTTCCCCCCCCCCCCCCCCCGAAGGAAAACCATATTCAGTTTAGAATTTTGTTCATTCGAGAAAAACATTCCATCCTACTTCTTTGGTTTTAGTTGAAACAAATGTCAATTTGACCCCATTAACTATTTAGAAAAACTAGTGAACATTCCAAAAATGAAATTTTTGTGTACATGTCAGGCTATATTTTTTATGGTGTTTAGAATGCTTTACTGACCTATGACCCCCAGGTCTTAACTGAAGATTAGCCTTCCATGGCATGGTTTTGTTCAGATTAAATGAGGTGATTTGGAATGTCTGCATGGGGTGTGTTAAGGTTATAAGGTCAGTGTGAAGATAAGCCAACATTCTCTCTATACCTGTGTGAATCTTAAACAGATATGCAGTTCTATGGGACATGGGATGTGTTTAGTCAACTGGCAGGCTCCAGATAAGCTGTCATAATGTGTCTGCAACCCCAGAAAGTATGATTTAAGCAGGCCATAGACATGGGGAAAATCGGCAATTTTTTTTTTTTTTAAATCGCTAAATCGATCGTTCAGATGGCCGATGTTGCCACTAATTAAATAAAAAAAAAAAAGTCTGCGGGTTTAGTCCCTTCTACGGCCGTCAATTAATATAATAGCGGTGTTCCTGCATAGAGACCCGCTATTATATTTGACAGAAGAAATAGATTATGCAGAAGAAGAAGAAGAGAAACAACATTGTGTCTATTTGTACTTGAATAGAAACATCTGTATCTGAAATGCATACAAATAGATACCATGTTGAAACTTTTTTTCTTCTCTATCTTCTTCTGCAAAATCTATTTCATCTTCTCTTTTCTTTTATTCTTCTTCTTGATATTCTATTTCTTCTTCTCCTGCAAAATCTATTTCTTCTATTTCTTCTATTTCTTCATAGTCAATTTATTGTCAAATCGGCCAGAAGAACGGCCGATTTGACCATAAATTACCGCGAAAATCGGCGGATCTAACAAATCGTCCCAGGATTTTCCAGCTTGGACGATTTTCAAAATCTCTTAAAAGTAAGAAAAAATGACTGACATTTTTCCCCACTAACGGTATGAATATCAGCCGATTTTTTTTTTTTTTTTCATCGGCCGATAATTCGGCAAGAAAATCGGAAATCTATGGCTGCCTTTACTCAATGGTTCACTTTTGTTTAGCACAATACAGTTAAACTTTTTTTTTTTTTTTTTTTTTTTTTTTTTTTGATTTCTTGCATTAAATGTCCAAAATCCCTTTAAAATCTGCCAGTTTCAGCTTGCTCCCAGTGTTTCTTGAGATGACGACACTATGTCTGGTGTGCTATCAATGGTGTGATAGTGTTGTCACCAGGGGTGGACTGACCATTTGGAAACTCGGGCACTGCTCGAGGGCCCAGGGTCAGTAGGGGGCCCCATGAGATGCCCCGGTACCTTTTTCATAGGATTTTGTGAGTTTGGGCAAGGACACGGGGCCCCATGATCCCCCATTGCCCGGGGACCCCATGAGTTGTCAGTCCGCCCCTGGTTGTCACCCAGCCAGGTCCTACACCAGCTTTTCCTAAACGTTTTACCCCAGATGAACCCCTAAAATTTTCAAGTCATGGGGAACCTTAACTAAAACCTATTAATTGGGGTCAGTTGGAAAAATGATTCTTAGATTGGTGGTCAGTAGGAAGAATGAAACTCTTATTGTGGGGGTCATAATGCCACGCTGAGAGTCAGCTAAAGAGATAATTAGTATCATGCTGCTGACTTTCTAGTTGTCTTCGCCCTGGAACTATGCAGACACCTTCAAACTCCTAGCAAACCTCTGAAGGAACCCTGGTTGAGAATTTTTCTCCTACAATACGCAAGGTCCCGAAGTCCCTCCATTACATCCCTGGCAGACCAGAGGTTTATGACTGACAGTGGAGCCTGGAACTTGTAGTAGGGAAGTGGAAAACAACATCAGCATTGTCAAAAGGTTGATGGATCTCTTTTTATTAGGAGCTACACTCCTTAGGTTTGCATAGGCTACAATAAATGTGACCAGACAGTCACTGCATACACTGGACCAATGTTGTGACCTGTCACGAAGGCTGATCTCATAACCAGGAACAATGGGTTGTGAGAGCTTCCTGTGCTTGTAGGTTACTGGGGTGAGTCAACATGACTTTTATCCCTGACTTAGAGGTGCCTTAGAGATGGTAATGTCTGTTAAGCTTTACAGGTTTCCAAAATGTTGAAATACCTTTTGTGTCTAATAAAGAGGATTTCTAAAGCTCACAACTGCATAGATCTGCATAAGTATTTACAGAACTGTCCTATTTTTTGGTCTGATGTACCATTTAATATGGCAAATAGGATATGCTTAAGAAAACCAGTTTTTTGCTAAATAGGGCTTGCTGCATTTCATTCACTGTTTATACATTATGGACCTCATGATTACTACTAAACTTTTTTTAGGCATTTTTTTAGGAACTTGAATACTATTTTGTGTTTTTCCTGTTCTCCTGAAATAATGATGAGTTATCAGATTGTCATACCAGTTCTTGTAAAGGTTGCCCTGTGTGGTTTGGAGCATGTTGTCTCAGCTGAGAAAGATAATTAATCATTTTTTTTTTTTCCATTTTAGCTGATCGTTATGTTGGATCTAGCTCAGCCCCTGCTCATTTTCCTCTGCCTGTCTTCATCGATTTCTTCTTTCCCTTATTTTCTCCGGCCCAATGTCACCTTCAACCATATGGCTTATGACCCTGGCTCGGGCTCAATCTACATCGGGGCTGTCAACTGGATCTTCCAGCTCTCCCCTGGCCTCCTGCTTTTGGCAGAGGTCTCCACAGGCCCTGTGTCTGATTTCCCAGATTGTCTACCTTTCAAGGAGAACAGAGACTGCCCTCACGCGGCTCCCACCCAAAACACTAACAAGTTACTAACTGTCAATACCCATAGTGGGGAGTTAATAACGTGTGGTCACGTGTTTCAGGGCATCTGTGAAAAGAGGAGGTTAGCCAACATTTCCAGTATAATTTACCAAACCATAGATCCTGGTGACAATCAGTTTTGTGGCCGCCAATGAGCCCAAAGTCACTACTGTTGGAATAGTAGAGAGGACGTCACAAGGCCTTGATTATCTATTTGTAGGCCGTGGTTTAACATCTAAGCTGTCGAGTGGAATACCACCAATCACCATAAGACAACTATCAAAGTCACCTGTCTTCTCCAATGAAGGTTTGGGCAAATTGGTCGTGGGAGACTTTTCGGATTACAACAATACGTTTGTCAGTGTGTTCTCCAACGAAGGGCACGTCTACTTCTTGTTTTACCGCCGTGGGTCCAAATCCCAAATGGACTACAAAACCTACCTCAGCAGTGTGTGCAGCCAAGACCTCCACCTCTACTCCTATGTGGAAGTCCCCCTTGTGTGCCAAGGAGGCTACAACCTGGCACAAGCTGCCCACCTGGAGATTAAGAACCAGGAACTCTTTGTGGTATTTGCTGCTAGCCAAGGTTCCAGTCCAAATCCAAGCAGCCGGACTGCTTTGTGTTCTTATAAGATGAAGGACACATAAAAGAGAGGATAATGGCTGCTCGAGTCCTTTGCTACACAAAACTCGGCAAAGGAGAAAGCGGACAGGAAGAGGCTGGCATCGAGTATGGAGTGAATTCAAGATGTGGTTCCCTTCCTATGGTATGTGTCTGTGGGTAAATCGTATAAAACAACCAAAGAGAGCATAGAGAGTTAAGAATTTAGTTGCAAGTCAGTTATCTTTTAACGAACTTTGCAAAATTCAGGTAAAAGCACATAATTATCAGGTATTGTAAACCTTTAGTTGCAGCGTTTTTCCTTTAGATAAATCATTTTTTTTATAGGCTACCAATGTGCCCCTAAACTGGCTAGAAAATGTGACTACTCCAGGAACAGTCAATTCCCTAGGACAACCTCCTCTCTCCTTGCATGTCATAGCCCTCTCCCCTTCTAGGGGGGTCTAATTACTCTCTATGCTAGCCCAGTTTCTCCACCATTCACCTTCCTATAAAAAAAAAAAAAATTTTTCTTTTTGTTTTTTTTTTCCCCGAGAAGCAACGGGGAATACTTTAGAGTGTCACTTAAGAAGCTCTCTGGCTGCTGACATCGCACCCAAGATGGCAGTGCCCAAGCAGCCATCTCAGAGCATTTGTCATTAGCTATAAGGGTTAAGACCAGGGGCGGACTGACCATTCGAGCACTCGAGCACTGCCCGAGGGCCTGGGGTCAGTAGGGGGCCCCATGAAATGCCCCTGGTACCTTTTTTATAGGCTTTTTTTGAGTGTGGGCAAGGACACAGGGGCCCCATGAGCCCCTATTGGTTAAGACGGGGGGGCGGACTGACAACTCATGGGGCCCCGGGGAAATAGGGGATCATGGGGCCCCTGTGTCCTCACCCACACCCAAAAAAGCCTCTGAAAAAGCCAATGAAAGGTACCAGGGGCATCTCATGGGGCCCCCTACTGACCCTGGGCCCTCGGGCAGTGCCCGAGTGCTTGAATGGTCAGTCCGCCCCTGGTTAAGACACAGGAGGTGCACTGCCATATTTCAGGAGGAATTCAAGACAAAATCTTGCAGAGTCCTGCGTAGGCGCAATGAACATTTTGTAAAGATTTCCTATAAGATAGCCAACCTTCTCTTTTTTAGTTGGAAAAGCAGCAAGGTAATCCAGGACCTCTCATGACTGTAATGACAAATGTCTTGATAAGATCAAAGGTTTGCTACCACAAATAATTTTTGTTTCTCTGTTTCTTCCCAGGATTCACCAACTCTCTTTCCATGTGGAGGTGATCACACCCCCAGCCCGATAGCCAGCCGGGTCCCTGTCTCCGTGTCACCTCTCCTTACATATGATGCCAACCTGACAGCAGTAACAGCCCTAGCCATAGACTCTAACACTGTTGTCTTTCTTGGAGATGCTTTGGGATATATCCACAAGGTGACCTTCTTTCACTCTAAAATCACTCTAAAATCTATGGAGTAGAGAAATGTTAGAACCCCATTCAGGATTTAACTGATGTCTGTGGAGATTTACTTATTCTGTTTGTCCTGGTTTCCAACATCAATTCCACTAGAAGTTGGGGGAAGATCCAAAGATATGAGTTTCCCCTTAAACAGATATAGAGGGGAGATTGTCCAATGGGGACATTTGTTTAGTGACAGCTAGACAACTTTTTTAGAGATATTCCCTCACTTCCTGTGGTGTTTAAAGGGCAGGAAAGTATGTAAAGTGGTCCTTGGACGGATCTCCTTCCCAGGAACCGTTTTGATAAGTCTGACTTCTTCAAATATTTCATCCCTAGGCTGCTCAAACTTGTAGACTAGGGCTGTTTGTACTTGAATGGGACTTCGCTCTGCCCTGTAAACCTCTGAAGCCCCATACCTAGTTTCAGAAGCTTGAACAGTGCATGTATCATCATGGTCCTGTCCACTACAAGCCTACGACTGTGTTTCCAAGTATAATTTGTGCTTTCATTCTGCATTGCCCATGCATGCCATTATCAGCTATACCGTGGGTGGCACTGTTCGAAGCAGTTTACTGACCTGATAGGAGGTTCCATGTGCCATTGCATGCTACATCATAGAAGAACTCATCAAAGATGGTGGATACACTGGTCCTACAAGGCAATTATGTAGCACTTGCATAGCCACCATTATATACAGGAACTGCAGCCTGGGTAGGAGCAAAAGGGACTATAGAGCATCCTTTCTCAAACTTTTTACCCCAGAGAAACCCTTGCAATAATTTTCAATTCTCTGGGAATTCCTGTTAAGATTATTGGTGGTCATTGGGAAAGTGCCACTTGAATTGGTGGTGGTAAGTGGGAAGAATGCTCCCCTTACAGTGGTTGTAAAAATGCCCATGGCTCTGCTAAGTGGTGTTGGACATAGAACCATGTACGTGCCATCACATGGGAGGTCAGTTAGCCAAAGCTCAAGGAATCCCTAGACACCTCTAGAGGAACCCTGGTTAGGAATGACTGCTATAGAGTGTCACTTGAGTGTCACTTGAAGTCTGCTGTGGCTGCTGACATCACATCCAAGAAGGGGGCACCCAGCAGCAGTCTTGGGTATAAAGTTTGTCAAATGTACATATAATCTAAGAAGAAAATTGTTGTAGAAATTATTGATCTAGCAAAGGGGTCTCTTTAAATGACATGAAAGTGTTTGGTAAATAAAATGTAATGCTATGAAAGTGTTTGGTAAATAAAGTGTATTGCTATGAAAGTGTTTGGTAAATAAAATGTAATGCTGACACCAAGAAATATCTCATTACCAAATCAACTACTCCAAAAAGCTGTATAATGAATGACTTTCCTGGGAAATTGCTGATTCTTTAACCTGTATGTCTCATTGTAGGTATTTGTGTCATCCGGATCTGGACAGAACTACAGCGCTCTGACTCTGGCTCCTGGGTCTCCTGTCAGTCCTGACCTCATATTGGATAAAGAAGAGAAGAACTTGTATGTAATGACTGAGTTTCAGGTAAGAGACTTCAGCTCAGCTATGGAACTTGAAAAATTACCAATCCCCATGTACACCATAAGTGCACCATGGTTTTCTAGTGGTGCCACTGATTGGCACCAGACAGAGTGTTTCTAAACCAAAAAAAAAAAATTATTATTATATTGATCGCCTCTTCTCAAGGAAAAATACATTTATTTCAGTTAAAGTGGTAATTAAGTCCACTATAAAAAACGTTTTTGTTTTTCTTTTGGGGAAGGGGGGCAGGTGGGTTATGCCATAATGTGCTAGTGTCAGAGGCGGACTGACCATTTAGGCTCTCGGGCACTGCTCGAGGGCCTGGGTTCAGTAGGGGCCCCATGAGATGCCCCTGATACCTTTCATAGGCTTTTTTGGGTTTGTTTTGAGTGTGGGCAAGGACACAGGGGCCCCATGATTTCCTATTGCCCAGGGGCCCCCTGAGTTGTCAGTCCACCCCTGGCTTGTATGCATAGCATACTAGCACATTATGGCAGACTTACCTGCCAAAGAAACTCTCCAGCGCTGCAGTGTAATCGATCCCTGCTGCTTCTATTTTTGCCCGGTCCTCCTTCTGGGAACAGTGCTTTCGGCCACTTGCATGGCCAGGTCACAATAACGTCACTAGAGCGCATGTGCGTGGGAGTCACATTGCCACGGTACAGATCAGGGGCCGTGACTCTACACTTAGTTGCGCATATGCACATGATGGTTGACAGGCAGAAGGGAGCTTTTAGGACAGAAGAAACCCAGAGGGTCTCTTCTGTCATAACTGTCCTGTCTGCCAGTAATTTTTAAAATAAAATTCAGTGTACTACCACTTTAATCTTTCCTCGTAGCTGGGGTCCTTCAAGAAGCATGCTGATAGGAGGAGAGAGCAGAGTGACAGAGAGATGAGCTTATTACTATGCTGCTTCTTGTTTTACTGTTCCGTCATGGGCTGGGGGTGGGTACAGAATGACCTGGGCTCAGAGGAAGCAGGTTAAATAATGCTGGTTATCAGACTTAGATCACCTAGTGGCAGAAAAAAGTACCTGCAGGAGTTCTCTAGATTGAAGGTAAATTACTCATTATTTTCAATTCTTACTTCTTTTTCAGTAAATTGTTTTTTTTCAATTGTGAGGTGCCTTTAAAATCCAGGACAGTCCATTGCGTAGTGCAGTCCCTCTCCCTCCTTGTACGTCATAGTCATCTCCTCTTCTGGGAGGGTCTAACTGTTATCTGTGCTGGCCCAGCTTCTCTGACTCTCTCTTTATTTCCTTACATAGTTACGGATATAGTGATTACAGGGTCCGGGGAGACCAGATATAGTGATTACAGGGTCCGGGGAGACGGGTGAATGCAGACCGGATATAGTGAATGCAGAGTCCGGGGAGACCGGATATAGTGAATGCAGGGTCCGGGGAGACCGGATATAGTGAATGCAGGGTCCGGGGAGACCGGATATAGTGAATGCAGGGTCCGGGGAGACCGGATATAGTGATTACAGGGTCTGTGGAGACCGGATATAGTGATTACAGGGTCTGGGGAGACCGGATATAGTGATTACAGGGTCTGGGGAGACCGGATATAGTGATTACAGGGTCTGGGGAGACCAGATATAGTGAATGCAAAGTCCGGGGAGACCAGATATATAGTTACTTAGTTAGTCTGGCTGAAAAAAGACAAAAGTCCATCCAGTTCAACCATAAAAAAAAAAAAAAGTTATAATCCTACACCCACGGTTGATCCAGAGGAAGGAAAAAAAAAAATCCCACAAAGCATGAACCAATTTGCTCCTGCAGGGGAAAAAAATCCTTCCTGATCCCCCGAGAGGCAATCGAATATTCCCTGGATCAACTTTACCTATAAATGTTAGTAACCAGTTATATTCTGTGTATCTAAGAAAGAATCCAGGCCTTACATAGCTTATCTGTAGCTGCCAGGGGAGGAGCGTTGGGCCCAGGGGCGGACTGACAACTCATGGGGCTCCCGGGCAATAGGGGATCATGGGGCGCCTGTGTCCTTGCCCAAACTCAAAAAACCCTATGAAAAAGGTACCAGGGGCATCTCATGGGGCCCCCTACTGACCCCGGGCCCTCGGGCAGTGCCCGAGTTTCCAAATGGTCAGTCTGCCCCTGGTTGGACCATACTACACTTTACCACCCTAAATGACAGCTATGAGTTTGCTGGGGCCGTAGATAATCACATTCAAGCTGGCGGCACCCAACAGCACTTTCAAGGTTTTTGGGTGCCTACACAATGGAGGCTTTTACAGGTAAATAATAGGTTTAAAGTATGTTAAATGCATATAAAATATAATAGGAATATTTTGTGGAAATGGATGGTCTTGTTAATAGCACATGTAATAAACCAGTAAATGGTACTTTCATGATGGAACCAGTCAGACCACATAATTATATCTTGGAGTAAGTGGCTGCTCTATTTGTATGGCTGAGGTTTATTACAACCTTGTGTCCTCACACACCATATATCTGTATCCAGCTTAATTCTTGGGTTGGAGGAAAATGATATATTGGGCTTCTTTACCCTTACCTGGTACTTATCTGGTTGGTATGTGCACCTGGAGTATATGATTTTCTGCACGTGCTTGGTATGTGTGCCTGAAGTGTAAATTGCTAGCTGCTGTAATTGTATGTCTGGTCACGGATTATGTGGTTATGATTAGGGTTCCCTAGGGCCTAGAAGAGAGCAAGTCACAATTAGGCAACGATCTGCATGTTCTGACTGTAAATAGAATCAAGTAAGTGTACTAATGAAATATTTATATTGGCATTCAGGACCAGGATAAGGGGGTACCACCAGTCGTCCTGTACAGGGCCCAGGCAGCTGGGTGAATCGGACGTAGGCAGGGAAGGTGCCCGGCACATCGGGAGGGGCAATTACTGGAACCGATCCCCTGTATGCCTCTCTGCAGCAGCTGAAAGATGGCTTCTTCTCCTCTCCCTCTTGCTGGCTTTCAGCTGCTGCAGAGAGCCATACAGGGGACCAGTTCCAGTAATTGCCCATCTGGTGCACCCAACACCCTCCTTGTGAACCATACATTTCCCCCTGCTACCCAGGCCCCCCTGTGTGCCCCCCACCCCTGCAGTGCTTCCAGCTTCCTTCCTCTCCTTCTCACCGGCAGCTGCAAGCACACCATAAGATCCTTCAGGATGGAGAGTGGGGGAAGGGTCCTGTAAATATGTCACATTTACCAGCCCCTTCATTTTCTTCCTTTCCTGAATGAACACAATGAGTGATTCGTATTGATCACTCAGTGAGTTCATTTAGAACTGAAGCATAGTAAACTGTGTTGTTTTTTTTTTTTTGTTTGTTTTTTTTGGGGGAGGGGGGCTGTCAGATTGGCTGTATGGGGCCCCATGGTTTCTTACAGCAGCCCTATTGGCATTACTTTGCCTGACTGTGACACTTCAGGAAAATGTTAGAAGCTAGAGGTTACCCTAAATCTGACACTTGCTCTTCTGTTGACTGCGGGACCACACATACTCCAAGTGGAGGTGGGTGTGAGGTGCTGAATATGAATGCTTTACTAGTAGATGAGGTGGTCCAAGTCTGAGCTAGATTGTAAGCAGGGCCCTGATTCCTTCCTTGCTGGCCAAGCGCCACCACCCCCACCGTCCTCCTGCTCAGGAACAAGATAGGGTACACACACCATAAGTGGATTTATTGCTATCTTCACTCACTTTCATTCTCCAAGCCTGAAGCCCACCTCCAGAAGAAAAGAGTCTACAAATTCAGCCTTTTAATGATTTCACTGTAGCAGAAGCATTATTGAACAGTTCTTGGTCAACACACTCTTCATCTCTGCTCTTCCTGCCCTGACATAATTTGGCACAGTGCCGCCAAACATTTCCATGGTCTAGGTAAGGCAACAATCTACAAGTTCAGGGTCCCCCCCCAGATATGAGGGTCACTCAACTTGAGACGTCCATGTGTAGTTTAACCAGAAAGCATGAAAAACAGTTGTTGCCAAGAGTCTGAAAGCACTTTATTGGTTCTTCGAGGGAAGAGGGGGAAAAGAAGCGAACACGTTTCATGGGCTAAAAACTTCCCTCTTCATCAGGGCTTTAGCAATTCTTGCTGTATCCTTAAGAGCTACAGTAGGTAATTCTATCAGAGGCAGAAGAATAAGCAGTGAATGGGTGCCGCGTCAAGGGGCAGACTGACCATTTGGAAACTCGAGCACTGCCCAAGGACCTGGGGTCAGTAGGCGGCCCCATGAGATGCCCCTGGTACCTTTTTCATAGGCTTTTTTGAGTTTGGGCAAGGACACTGGGGCCCCATGATCCCCTATTGCCTGAGGGCCCCATGACTTGTCAGTTCGCCCCTGGCACCCACTGACCTAGCTGTTACTGAGTCCAACTGTGATAATTGCTAAGCTCTGATGAAAGGGGGTGTTTTGGCCCTCAAAATATGTTGAACATTTTATTGTTTTCCTGTTCTTTATGGAACCAATAACATACCTTTGGACTCTCAACAATGTGTGTTTTGGTTCTGGTTCAGCTACATATTGATCACATATTAGTATTATACAGTATTTATATAGCGAGTATTTATATAGCGAGTATTTATATAGCGCCAAAAGGTTTGCTCAGCGCTGTACATTATACTGGGGGACAGTACATGAGACAGTACAGTAACAAAACAATACATGAGGGGTTCGAGGGCCCTGCTCTTTCAAACTTACAATCTAGGAGATTGTATACCATATCCCAGCTCCTGAGGCTGCATAACACTGTCACATAATTGAGCCATATGGTTAGAAAGAATGTAGACAACTATAGATCTCTGTTATTTGATCCTGGTATTCACTCCTCAAATTTCAAACATTGTGTGGAATCAATCAGATGGACGCAACTACAGTCAACGTAAACTCACAGGGCTAGCTGAGGAGGTGAAGGATTCCTTACATCAATGCTACCAGTGCACATACTGCTTATTTATTAACTATAGGTACTTGTATAGCACCATCCATTTACGCAATGCTTAACTCACATATATTGTACATTCACATCACTCCCTAACCCTCAAGGAGCTTACAATCTAAGGTCCCTAACTCACGTACATTCACACATATTTGGGCCAATTTAGTCAGGAGCCAATTAACTTACCAGCATGTCTTTGGAGTGTGGGAAGAAACCGGAGTACCCGGAGGAAACCCATACAGGCACAGGGAGAACATTCAAACTCCATGCAGGTTGTGTTATGGTTGAGATTGGAACTGACGACCCTAGTGCTGCTAGGTGGAAGTGCTAACCACTTAGTCACTGTGCTATATGCATATCTGCAGATAAGGATATATTAAGTGGGAAGAGCTTATATTTTACATTGGGGTCCTGTACCTTATAGCTATGAAGCTGACATGGCAGCTTGGCATGGCAGCATGTTCTTGGGGAGTATAGAGGCACTTGAATTCTTAGGGCTGGGAGTTTTTCCATTCGTAAAGACTTCCACTGGCCCTTTGGATTTGTAAAGCCCTGTATACACGATCAGAAAATTTATACGAAAAATGTCGCTTTCAAAGCAATCATACGATAATCTGATCATTAGTACACAGCAATCGTCTGAAATTAATTGAAGGGACAATCACGAAAAATTTTGTTGTACAATACCAGATCGTACAATTTTCATTTAATCAGTACAGTTTTCATTTGAAAATACATTACAAATACTGTACATTAGATGACTTCCGAATTTTTATTTTGTTGTAACCTTAGTAACCTCTTCACTTTTGATATGACATTAGCATGCAAAAAAACAATAATTCGTCCAACATTTTCAATGTGTATAAGGGGAAGGGAATCTGTGACTGAAGCTCCTGAAGCTCTATCTTGAAATGTAATTATCCAGACACTAATATTTTCCAAGGTAAGATTAGATGAACTATATCATCTAAAGCCAAAGCATTTCAGGGGCTCAGCATGCCACCTCCTTCTTCAGGGCTTGAATGCTGGCAAGGAATTTAGATGTACTGGACAATGGTTACAATGTCCTATGGGTATTGGAGTGGCGATTTGGGTCACCAGGCTGACAACCTCAACTTTTAGATTTTAGGTGAATTATGCCGTGTGACACTGTCCCAAAGTGTAAGGCTTAAGCTGGACATGTACAGTTAGCTATTTTAAAAATGAACAGATTCCACACAAACATGTCCGAATCCTGTTGCAATGGATGGAGAGAAGGTCCTACAAGGGGGATGGAGGGTGATCCTTGATACCCCGGGGTCACAGAGGACTGCCACTGGACCAGTGGGGAGGACTAAGGGGCAGCCTTGGCCCATAGAGAGGGTGGCAACATTTTTAATTAATTAATTAAATAAATAATAAATATATATATATATATATATATATATATATATATATATATATATATATATATATATATATAAAATGTGTGTGTATGTATATATATATATATACTGGAAATTGACTTACATATAGATCAGACTGTGCAGTTATAATAATTTTAGGCTGAATATTAAGATTCTTGATAACCTAACATTTGGATTGGTTCTTCTGAATGTGCTATAGGCAGTTCTGCGACGCCAATCAGATTGAGAAATAACCAATTTGGTCTTGTTAGGGCAGAAAATCTTTTAACAGGAATTATGTTCCACGTGGCGCATAAAACAGAGGACAGTATGCTCCATATACTGTATGTTCCATCAGGTATCGGCATGTCTGTACAATATTTGGAATGTGAGCAGAAGAAGGAAATGAAGATTAAACTGTCAGGTGGGAAGATCCATCACTCTGAAACAGGGTCGGACTGACCATTTGGAAACCCGGGCACTGCCCAAGGGCCTGGGGTCAGTAGGGGGCCCCATGAGATGCCCTGGTACCTTTTTCATAGGCTTTTTTGAGTTTGAGCAAAGACACAGGGGCCCCATGATCTCCTATTGCCCGGGGGCCCTATGAGTTGTCAGTCCGCCCCTGCTCTGAAATATACTTTTGGAAAGCTGTAGTAATTTGATATTGCATACAAAGGATATGGTTTCGTTGAAGTTCCTATCTATTTGCCAGTGAGCGTCTCTTTCCTGGAGATTTCATGCGTGAGGGTGAATACATATTTCATGAAGATGTGACCCCGTGCTTCAGCCCCCCCCCCCACCCCTCCTTCTAGACAGGTCACCAAGCTGAATATTTTATTACAGCTTCGCACATGCAAATTTAAAGGGCTTGAACTGACATGAAGCACCACCTGTTCTATTGTGTTTACATACATTTTATATTGGCCATTTTAACTGGCAATGAAAACACAAAGAAAAAGACCTTGCTGTATAGGGAGGGTCCAGATTGTGGTTAATGCAGCAAATTGGCAAGGTAGAAATTGACTTTTTTATTTTTTACTGCATTTATAGTAAATTTAAAACAAAGCTGTCACTGTTCTAAACTCCTAAATCTCCTTCCAGCCTTGAGGGTCTCAAGTGTTGGCCCTCACTTTATGCACTCTCATTCAGGGAAAAGAAACAGACACATACTGACATTAATTCTTTGTAGATACTTTATTGAATTAGCCAAGAACAGGCCGATGCCCACACTTGAAGATGGCTCCTCCAACACCTTTCACCCTCATGAGCTTAGTCATATCCCATTCTTGGTTAGTTCAGTAGAGTTTTTACAAAGAAGAGATGTCATTCATGTATGGCCAATGGTTTTCTTTAGGTGTGAGCCAAAGTAATTGTTTAAATGTTTTGCTACATTCATGTCTCACTCCAAAATAAAAGATATGTCTAGTTTTATTGTACACTGCCAAAAACACCATGGCCCAGTATTTCAGGGGAATCTTTGTTCATTGTTTCTCACACTTAACCTACCTGTGTGTGAGCTGGACCAACTTGCCCTGTACGTGGGGCTTTCTCTATCTCGTGCACGTGCTCACTAATACTCGGGACAAGGTGGGGTTATATTCTTGTGAACGTAACATTAAGGTGGCATCCTGGATTAGAAGTGAGTCGTACACCTGGAGCAACCATACTTTACTTGGGGCTTTGTTATATCAACTACTGTCCATGATATGCACCCCTGGTCTTATGGAATGTGACATTCACAATGGAACATTGCTGAGCTTGTGTCCCATTCCACCAGTTCAGCGCCTTCCTATCACCCCACTCCCAGTGATAGAGTACGGGTCCGGCCAAATAACAGTGCAAACCTCCTGCATGCATGTTTTGTCTCAGTTAACTGTTCCCTTACCTGTGGCTGCTAGGTCCCTGAGGTCTCCACCACGCACGTTTGGTCTCAGTTGACTAGGGCACTGACCGCTAGGGAGGAAATTGGTGAACCGATCCCCTCGCTACACAGAGAATCCGTCACCCCTGCCGGTACTGTTCTTCCTGTCTGGCTGCCATTTCATCCCTGGAGTGTTGGTTACCCTTAGCAAGTACGTGTTCTCCTCTTCACCCCACGTGTATGTAACTGGCCCTGTTCTTTTAGATATGCCATTTACCGCCATGAACCCCTTTGCAATAACTTCAGACCAGGCATGGAACGGTTCTTGAGGTTTACTGAACATATTCAGAAAAACAGTCCAACAGTGCAAAGAACATTCAACACAGTTCTTCCCTTACTGACTAGGTCCATGCTGCCCAATGCATACCTTCCCAAAGGTAGGAGTCTATAGTGTGGGAGAGTCCTGGCCAAGGTGACTTCCCTTTATGGTGCTCCGTACATTGCTGGTGGTTACATCTTCATCCTGTGCCTCCTGACTTCTTCCCATGCAGGCCACAGCAGAGAGCTCCAGAACAGAACCTTCATATTAATAGCTCAGGGTGGAGGGCAGAGTCCAGAAATGCCCCGGAAAATGCAGAGCCTTGCCTAACCTCTTCCCGCCTGGAAAACCTAACTAGCTCAATACCAGCACTTGTAAGCATGTGTAGGGTACCTGTCACTTGTCTGGAAACCAATCAATATTTACCTTTTTTCATCTTTGTGTGTATTTTGTAGGTTTTTATGGGCCATCAGTGGTGATGGAGATTTCTCACATTTTTTTTATTCTTTTTCAGGTTTCCAAGCTTCCAGTTGCAGAATGTTCTCACTCATCTACATGTGATGAATGTGTACGCGCTAAAGACCCTTTCTGTGGATGGTGTGTACTGCAAGGAAGGTAAGTGACTGATCCTTGGTGTATCTAATGTATTTGTGTTCTATATAACAGTTACTGGTTCTTGAGTGTGCAAAGAAAGTAAGGCTTGCCTTTACGAAGATTTGAGACAAGTATGTCAGATTTTACCATTTTGGATCTGACTGGTTCCAGAGAAAGGGAAGTCATCCGTTAGGGGCCCTGTCACACCACAGGTGTACATTATGGTGCACTCTGGTTTACATTTTGCATGCTGTGATGTGTTGTTCCTATGGTTTACAGTGTCTACTTCTTATATTTAAAGTTAACAAAAAATCCTTCATTTAACTCTATGTACAATAGTATGTTGCAACACATAGCTGGCCTTTTGTAACACGTTTTTTTTTTGTGATGCATCAAAATGCAGGCATGCTTCACAATTTTTTTCCTTTCAAAAAACTTTATTGAAGTGCAAATTAATTAAAGGCACTGGGATATACGTTTACATTTCCAGACATAAACAGAACAAATTTTACTACGATGCAGGCGTACAATGAAGTACAAATGCATACAGAAAGTTTGAAGAACAAGACCAGGGACTAGGTAATTCTTATCCATCTATAATGGTTGTTAGAAGTTACTAAACATCTCTTGGGGACTTTATTGGTGAGAACTCAGCACTTCAATTTTGGGTCTGCACACCCAGGGGCGGACTGACAACTCATGGAGCCCCCGGGCAATAGGGGATCATGGGGCCCCTGTGTCCTTGCCCAAACTCAAAAAAGCCTATGAAAAAGGTACCAGGGGCATCTCATGGGGCCCCCTACTGACCCCGGGCCCTCGGGCAGTGCCCGAGTTTCCAAATGGTCAGTCCGCCCCTGTGCACACCCACTATGACCATGGGTTGCCACTGTCCTTGCTGGACAGTTAACTCTGCGTTTCTCAACCTTTTTTTTTAGTGATGGTAGCTTTTACAACGAAAAATGAAAAATCTTGAGGCGCGCCAGTCTAAAATGTAAAAACATAAATGTAATCATTAATGGCAAATCTGAGCCTTGGGCAATGGGAAACCTGAGACAAATGTTGCAACATAAAAGGCAGCAGCACCTAATCTAATACTGCTCATGTGCTCTGTCCACCCCTTACACTGGTGATCAGAGTTGTGCCCGTTACATTGGTGATCATTGTTTCTGCCCCCTTCTTTGGTGGTCAGTGCTGTGCCCCTTACATTGGTGGTTATTTTTGTGCCCCCTACATTGGTGATCAGTGTTATACCCATTATATGGGTGGTAAGTGTTGTCCCCCTACTTTGGTTTTCAGTGTTGTACCCCATATATTGGGGGTTAGGTAAGTGTTGTGCCCCCTTTATTGGGGATCAGTGTTGTGCCCCCTACATTGGTGATCAGTGTTGTGCCCCCTACATTGGTGGTCATTGTTGTGCCCCCTACATTGGTGGTCATTGTTGTGCCCCCTACATTGGTGGTCATTGTTGTGCCCCCTACATTGGTGGTCAGTGTTGTACCCCTTATATTGTTGGTAACTGTTGTGCCCCCTACATTTATGGTCAGTACTTGGCCACTTACATTGGTGATCAGTGTTGTGCCCCTTACATTGGTGGTGAATGTTGAGCCCACCACATTGGTGGTCAGTGTTGTGAACTTCATATTATTGGTGATTGTTGCACCCCTTAAATTGATGGTCAATGCCTCTGCCCCTTTACTTTAATGGTCAGTGTTGTCCCCCCTACTTTGGTGGTGATCGTTGTGCCCCTTAAATTGATGTCAGTGTCTCTACCCTCCTGCATGGCGGTCAGTGCTGTTCCCCTTACATTGGTGGTCAATGCTGTACCCTTTACATTGGTTGTCAGTGTCCTTGCTCCCTTACATTGGTGGTCTGTGTACCCCCTTTCATTGTTGGTCACTGAGAGAAGTTTTACTTGCAGGATCAGTAGGAAGCACTGCCAGCGGAGTGAGGGAAGGCTCTCAATAGTAAATTCAAGCTGTGTTTACATTTGTGATCTCTTTGGGTATCAAAGGCACAGGGCCACTCTTATTGGCTCTGTGCCTTTGTCTGTAATGCAATGTCTAATGCTTGAGATGTGCAGGTGTGTGGGCAACCGTGATCCTCTGGTACACCTGACAAATCCAATGGCACCTTAGGGTAACACAGCACCCCGGTTGATACACTGATTTAATCTGTATTTATGGAAAATGTAACAGGAGCTGGAACTCACAAAACTGCAAGGTGCACAGGAACAAAGTCAGGATGAGAAGATCTCACATTTATAGTAACAAAGACATATAAGGAAGCCAGGGGCTGACTCAGCTTAAATATAATTTTTTCAGTGGACTAACAATTTAACCCTTTGGAAATTCATGTTGTCAGTCATGTTTTACATAACACAACTCCTTTTTATTATCTAGTAATGCATCACCATTACATTTACACATGCTGTAAAATGATGTTTTACATCAGGTGATGATGGAAGTTTGTCACCTGTAATTGTCATTGTTTGCTATGAATGGGGCTTCTCATCATCTTTAAGGAAATGGATTTACAGTGTTTAATTGAAGCAGTGTCCACCATGAAGAATGGTGGATTATGTTACTTATTATTGATTGCAAAGTTCAGGCTATGTAAGGATTAACCAGAGTGTGATAAACTTTTGAAACAAGAATAGAAGCATGGAAGCTGCCATTGCTTTTCAAGAAGGCAGAATCTGGGGTCATCACCCAGCTTTACCACCTTGTGATTCACTGATCAGGAACAGGAGTGTAGCCATTGACATATGAAATGTCTGAATCTCATGATGCATGCATGTTCTAGCTAAGTGACTCACTAGGCCAGACTTTTTCAACATTCCCTACAAAGAGGAATCCCTAAAAGAAATCAAATTGTCAGATCATGGGGAACCTTTTCAAGTTATCAGGAGTCAGTTGTAAAATGCTCCAATGGTGGTCAGTAGGAAGAATGCAACCCTTACAGTGATGGTCCGAATGCCTCACTTACAGACAGCCATGAATATATATTGTGTCACGTTGCTGGTTTAGCGAAATAACAATGGTCCTGGGAATATGCAGGCACCATCAAATGGAGAGGTCAGTCAGCCACCACGCAAGGATGGGAGTGCCACAAGTCTTTAACTGGTTCAGTAAAGATTTATTAATCTTGATAACAGACAATTAGGTCATCCGACGCATTTTTGGTTGCTTATAACAGATTAGAGATCTTAAAAATTTTAGCAACGATGAAGTAGGAATTGTGATCCCTGAAATGGGTTGGATTTACCTTCTATTGAGCTTAAGGGCTCTTGCACATGGTTGTACATTATGGCGTACAGAATAGTTTTTTCTTTCCTAATTCCCATTCTTTCTGATTTACAGGTGCACAGAGAAGCAACAATGTGAGAACAGCGATAAGAATAACCATTGGCTGTGGAGCTTTGATGATCAGATTCACTGTGTGACCATCCAGGATCTCTCACCAGCCAATCAGAGTCGGCAGCAGCAGACGGAGGTATATGATGGAGAGCAGAATGTGGCTAGCCATGGTTTTATGGTGGCCATATCCCCAATTACTGTGTATATGTTAGGAATGAATGGTCCCATCCAGGAGCTAAACAGCATTTAGCCATAGAGGACACTATATGTCCAGGAATTCCTTATGCTGAGTATAGTTTTGAGTTGAAGCAGATCCTAGCAGGGTTGCTAGTGATATGCTAAGGCACATACAATCCTATAGAGTAATATCTCCCATCTTTTCCCATTAGATTTCCATGACAGTTATGCAGCTTCCAGCCATCGCAGAAGAAGACAGTTGGAAATGTGTCTTTAATGCGTCATCCAGTACTGCCCGGGTGTATAGCAACCAGGTCATATGCAGTTCTCCACCCCCAAAAGAGCTGCCGTCCAATCCTCCAGGGAAAGGTAAGTCAAGAAGTAGACTGAAGTACACCTGATAGATTTTGTGTGACTTGAAGCAAAGCTGTGCATTGCCCATATAGTCCAAAGTAACAGGTTTGCTTTAATTCCCCATCAGAGGGTGGTTGACAGGTGGGATATCATGCTGTGAACACATGTTATTGGAATACATTTTTCAAGCACTATGATGTATTCAGTACACAAGCCCCTTTCATTCCTTCCTTCCAAATGGTTGTGGACTAGGGACCTTCCCTTGAGCGGGCACTTGATAATCACTGGAGGATCAAGATACAGTGAGCATTTTAGGAGCAGAATGGAGTGTTGCTGTTACTGCAACATGCAAATTCATTATATTTTTTCCTAAATATTTGATCTTTCTCAGCTTTTTTGCCCCAGAGTAACCCAAATATAATTTTTAGATCTTGGGGAAACCAAGATCTGGTGGTCAGTGATAAAAAAAAATCTGTCCGAATACCATTCTTACAGACAGCTAAAAAGATCACTGGTGTCCTGCAGCTGGCTCTTCCTGATGGCATTGACCCCAGAGCTGTGCAGGCACCATTAAATGAGAGGAAAATCAGCCATAGTTCATGGAACCCCTAGCAAGTTCTGGAGGAACCCTGATTGAGAGTGGCTTCTGGTAACTGCACTGGATACCAATAGTTGCACACTGATGCACAGAGTCCAGCACACAGTCTTAGGGATCACCCTAAAGTCACTACTCACAAGTCCCCAGAACAGCTGCCTCATTCCAGCTTCCTTCAGACCCAACCCAGTGAGTGAGATGGAGCCTCTCAAGAGAGGATCACTGGTGGTGTGGTTCTGTAGCTAGCTCTGAGCAAGGTTCACTTGAGCTTTTGATCCTGGCACCTTTGTTGCCTCCTTGAGCAGTAGTTCATTCCATGGGCTGAGTGACAGCAGCAGACCCTGTCTGTGGAACCCTACTGGGGAGAAGGAACCTTGCTCTGCAAAGTGTCATACTATTTATCCACACTCTAGCCCCTTTTGGAAACTTCTCCTCCAGGGATTGTCCAGAACCTGATAAATATTCAGATTGGGTGATTTAAATCTCCCACCCTAAGCTCTGGAAGCTTCTCCCAGAAGTAGGAGGAAACAGTCAAATTCCCAGCCTTTGAGACCCTGAACAGTCCAGACTAAACAATTGCTGCTCCCTTGATTACAAGAGGAGCCAAAGCTAAATTTGCCTAGCATCCTACTCCACGAAGGTTGTCAGGTAACTTAGTTGGAGGCCAAAGTGACAAGAGTGCTCCCCTTGCGACTCTGGCCCGAGCATGTCTGAGTGTGAGAACAGGAGCACAGATCACATAGGAGCATGGGTGCCGGTAAACTGGTAGCAGTGGTCTCTGGACTGTATTCAGCAGCAGTTCAGGCACACCAGAGGAAGACCAAGGGCAGAGGTCTGCAGGAAGGCACCAGGAAACTAGACCTTGGAAGCTTTGTACAGAGACTGTGAAGACAGGTCAGAAGCAGGCATAGGTACCCATCAAGATCAGGAATGTGGTCAGATGGCAGGCCAGGGTCAGCACAGATGGACAGTAATTACATAGTCAATAACCAAGCCAGAATTATACATGAGGAGCAGTCTGTGGGGGTTCAAGCTCAAGTCAGGCTGGAAGGCGCTGGAGGTCAGCCCTCTATCGCCTCCCCCTGGTTCTGGAGATCCATGGAAACCTCTAGAAGCTTGTGGGCAGATGGGAAGAGGCAAGGACCTGAATGTTTATGAGAGCCTGACCAATCCCAAGCAGGAGGCCTGGCAGTGTGGTTAGATGGGCCTATAATCATCAAAGAGCCCAGCCAGCAGGGGCGTCTGGTGATCGGATGGAAGATGGGGTGCTGAAGATCGTGTGGCCTGGGAGGGGACCCTGTGGAAGGAGGGCTCTGCTTCCACGCTGGAGCTGAAGGAGAGAAAGCTGGAGAAAGGAATCCTCACCACCCTGTACTGTTATGCTAAAGACACCTTGCCAAACATGGGAAGACTATCACAGTGACAAGGGACAAAGTGAGTACCTTTACATCCCCTGGGCCTACATGGTAGAAGGCTGCCAGATGCAATATCCAGCATGCCTTCCCAGGGAAATATCTCTTGCTTTGGCACATTTCACAAAGCAGCGAGGTGGGGTGGTATTTTCTTACAAAGTGTTGGGACTTTGTGAGTCACATACAGTAGAGCTACTAAAAGAGGAACCTTTGTAAATGATCATTTAGAGACTAGAGACTGATTATTCCAGAGGAATACAGTCCAGGATCTGCATTTTTGTGTACATAGAGAAGAAAGTTTGTCCTCAACTTGTTCTTTCAGGTCAAGTTGGGCATCCCATAATCCTTTATCCTTATTGAAGTTGTTTTCCCCTTCAATAAAAACAAACCCATGGACTGGATTTGTGCATACAGGTATCTGCTAAAAAAAAGCGTATTTCCTGGCTGTGCAGGAATAAGGGGATGCAAAAATCTAGCAGCCCTCTAGGGGGTAACACTACACCAGGAAGACAGCAAAGCGTGGTCAGAGGCAAGCCGAGGTCAGAGTCCAGAATTCACAAAGTAATGTCAGGGGTAGGCCAGGTTGGCAATGAGAGATCACATAAGAGCAGGAACACAGGTCTTGGGAAGCTGAAAGAACAGCCAGCAATTAGCACAGATCTGGACCTTCTTTAATTCGGTAGCTTGGGGCCAGTGCATGGACATGTGCCTATCAGAGATTTCCCTTGCAGTACTTTTTTTCTGTCGCTAGAGGTCCTCAGTCTGATGGTTAGCATCATTCAACTTCCTTCCTTTGAGCCCAGGTCAGCCCCAACCTGTGATTGGAAAGGGAAAGGGGGAGCAGCAATGTAATAAGTGATGAGCCCATCTCTCCATCAGTTTGTTCTCTCCTCCAGTCAGCATGCTTTATGCTTCAGGCTTCTTCCTCTCTCCCTTGCTCCACAGAGGCTGCAAAAGGCTGATACCAGGTCATATTTTGGTACTTCATTCATTTAAAAAAAAATGTAATGATGTATTATTGAATGCAGAGTTGCATTAATTTGTGTTTTTTTTATATTATCCTGGAGATAAGCTATAAATTTTGTGTTCTTTTAGATTTAGGTTTAGATGCATTTTTTTTTCAACAAATACTTGCAGCATAGGTGAGAGTGTTTGCATTATTGGCACATCTCTGCCATACCAGATTTTACTGTGGAATGCACTTTGTCTGTCTGGAAGTAAAACAATATGAAAATAGAGAGCTCTGCATTCTGTAATCAGGTTTTGGAGGAATGCTGAGCATTTGTGACGCTCCAGAGGCAGCAGATGGGTCATGCTGGTATAGATGGGGAAGTGACTGGTTCCCAGTCTGGGCATATGGCGTAACTGATCACAGGACAGTCCCTGACGTCTGATGACAACTTTTTTTACTATTTGTGTCTTCAAGTCATACTTGTGTTATTCTTGTCTTATTTTATCCTAGTTCCTCTTTCTGATGATTTTCACTCCATTGTCTTACAGACAGAATTTACTTTAGAAAAAAAACCAAACAAACAAATAAAAAAAACAATATGGCAAATATGAAAGACGCACATTAATAAGGCTCTGCAACTATTACTACATCAATAAATTCATTTTTTAATGCAAGTAGTGTAAGTACTCATATTGGACTTGTGTATCAGCTTCTTGCCTTCCCTTTACAAGATTTCTGTGAGATTTGACAAACAGCATAACTGTTAAAAGGCCGCTGAGATAAAATCACTTACAGGATTTTCCACCTAAGAAACAAATGTTGTACACTGCCTGAGATGAGGTGTAGATTTTTCAAACAGCACAATGTATAAATATGTGATCTGGAGGGCAGAATATACTGAGCAGGGATCTCTAAACTATGGCCCATGGTCCACATCCGGCCTGCTGCAAGATTTTATCCGGCCTGCAGCTAGCGCCAGTGGTATGATGTAAGAGGGGGACTTTGATAGTGATCCTGATATAAGAGGGAGGCCCTGATGGCAATACTGATGTAAAAGGAGGACTCTAGTGTGAATCCTAATGTAAAAGGGGAATTCATGTAAGAACAAGACTCTGATGAGGACTCTGATGGGGATTCTGATGTAAGGGAAGGACTCTGATGGGGATCCTGATGTAAGAGGGGGAAATATGGTGGTAATCCTGATATAAGGGGGGACTATAGTGGGGATCCTGATGTCTTAGATTGTAAGCTCCAAGGAGCAGGGCCCTCCTAACCCTCTTGTATTGAACTGTATCGTTGCTGTTTTGCCTCCCTTTATATTGTAAAGCGCTGAGAACTGTTGGTGCTATATAAATCCTGTATAATAATAAGTAGGAGGGGAACTTTGATGAGATCCTGATGTAAGAGGAGACTCTGATGAGGATCCTGATGTAAGAGGAGAACTCTGAAGAGGATCCTGATGTAAGAGGAGAACTCTGACGAGGATCCTGATGTAAGAGGGGACCTCTGACGAGGACCCTGATGTAAGAGGGGACCTCTGACGAGGACCCTGATGTAAGAGGGGACCTCTGACGAGGACCCTGATGTAAGAGGGGACCTCTGACGAGGACCCTGATGTAAGAGGGGACCTCTGACGAGGACCCTGATGTAAGAGGGGACCTCTGACGAGGACCCTGATGTAAGAGGGGACCTCTGACGAGGACCCTGATGTAAGAGGGGACCTCTGACGAGGACCCTGATGTAAGAGGGGACCTCTGACGAGGACCCTGATGTAAGAGGGGAACTCTGACGAGGACCCTGATGTAAGAGGGGAGTTATGACGGGATCCTGATGTAAGAGGGGAGTTATGGTGGGGATCCACATGTAATAGGGGGACTCTGATGGGGATCCTGATGTAAGAAGAGGCTCTGATGGGGAACCTCAATGGGAGCACCCTGCAACCTTGTGCAATGCAAGTGACAGTGGTGCCAGTTTTTAAGGGTTAAAACAGAAGGCAAGGACATGACAGAACCCACCTCACTGCTTCTAAAATGCCCTCTGAAGAGATATCCACTGCACTGAAAAAGCTGAATGTAGAAGCTGATTGGTTGCCATGCACCACTTTCCAGATTCTATCTGTTCCAGTTTTAATAAATCCCCCTTATTATTTTTAAAATGGAACTCCACGGAAAGTAAAAGTGTTCACTTGCAATGGTGTTGCCCCTGCATTACGGGGGTTAAAAGCTTGTTTAGGTCTAGGTTACTGGGAAAAGCAGATTTACTTTCCGTCCTCCACTCCCCCAGCTCCCTCCATATTGCTAGACCAGTCCCCACAGCCTTTTCTTCCCTGCACTCCAGTGATCGCAGGTCATTTGATGTCATCGAGTCAAATGCAGAGGCCATAGTCTTGCATTGGACCTGAGGCTGCAGAGGGACAATACGCTGATAAAGTATAGAGGTTTGCCACCTGCTGGGGAAGAGGATTGGGTAAGTAAAACTGCATTTTCAGTCCCCCAGACCTAAATGAGAATTAAATTTACATACATTTTATATTATTAAATATTTTATATCATATTATCTATCTTATTATATTTTTTATGCTTTTACGGCTTAGCTGAAACCAGGGGCGGACTGACCATTCGAGCACTCGTGCACTGCCCGAAGGCCGGGGTCAGTAGGGGGCCCCATGAAATGCCCTTGGTACCTTTTTTATAGGCTTTTTTGAGTGAGAGCAAGGACACAGGGGCCCCATGATACCCTATTGCCCGGGGGCCCCATGAGTTGTCAGTCCGTCCCTGGCTGAAACTTGTGCTTTCCAATGAAGTTTTGTTTAGTATATATTTTATTTACAATGTGTGCTATGTGTTTCGTATCGAATGGCTTGGAGCACTGCTCTAAGTGTGGAGATATCTGCTATGGAGATCCACAGCTAGTGTGGTTTCTGGCATCACAAATACTCATCCATAAGTCTTATGTGTAGGTAATATGGAGACTCCACACCCTGAGTAGCCCAATCTATGGGAAGAGTGAAGAGACGCGTTTCACCTTGCTCTTGAGGCTCAGTCATAGATGTCTCTGTGACTGAGCCTCGAGGGTGGGGTGAAACGCTTCATTTGGTCTAGGAGGAGCCTAGGCTGAAGCCGCTCTTCACTCTGTGTGTTTGTTCATTTTTGGTGCCCTCTGTTACTAGAATCCTGAATTGAAATTGTCTTTTTCCTGGCAGATCACGTAATTGTGCGGCTAGAATTGGTGTTCCGTGATATTACCATTGCTGTGACCGACTTCATCTTCTATGATTGCTCAGCTGTAATGGATTTGGCAGTCTCTAACCCGTGAGTTTCTGGGCTGGTTGTTCTTTTTTTCATTGAGGTGACCGGAGAATCGTTTGATTGGGTGTTTGAATACTGTGTCTGCGTTTTCTGCTACATTAGTTTATATAACAAATTGGGCAAAGTAACCTATAATAGCCAATCAGAAATTGACACTTAACTCCTTTCCACTGGCTTCCCACCACCCGTTTAAGAGATCCTGGGCTTCCCAATCACTGGTCCCAGTGATTGGCTGTCACAGGCATCACAAGGCACAGAGCCACTCTGACTGGCTCTGTGCATTTTGCCTTTGACTTGCATCTTGTAATGACAACTTGATCACAGGCCACTTTTTTAGCTTTTTTTATGCAGTGCTGTTTATAAACGGCGCTCAAGAAAATTGAGTACCCCCTGTAATAAGGTGTTTAAACATATATTTTTTTAGCTTGGTATATCCTGCCTCCCAATCCCAGATATCATATTTATAGTTTGAACTGTTTGGCCATATTGCTAGAGTGGGGTGATTTTTATTTTTGAATAGAGTGGAGATTAATGAAACCCCTGTGAAGTGTGAGGAATTCCTCCTATGCTGGTCACAAATGTATCCATGTGCTCATATAACTGGCCAAGCCAATCAAAAAAATGTTGCAGACTGAGACTTTTTATCAAATCTGCAAATTATGGAATAGATATAATCACCAGGTTGGAATAGCCAATCAGCCATTGATTATTGGAATATTATTAATCATTTTGCACCGAGCAGCAGCACTGAGATACTTTGTTCCTGAAAATGGTCATATTTCAGTTGATCAGATTGTTCGATTACATGATGGAAACGGAGATGTGATCAATAATTTACGATTGTATCTTAATTATCGATCGTAATCCACTTCTCTGTGTGCTGCATATCAAGCAAATTAGTTGTTGACTAACTGATCAATTATTCCTATCTGGAGAGATTGATCATAAAAAAATCGATCATTTATTTGCGCATGTATGGCCACCAATACTGATCACAGATTACTACCTGAATGGACACCATCAGACCCCCGTTCACACCTAGTATTTTTAAGCACACTTTTTTGTGCACACATTTTCCCCAACATGCATAGGGCAGCTCTTTTATTTCAATGGACTACAATATGCGCAACAGGCACGAAAAGTAGCTCATGTAGAATTTTTGTTGCATTATGCCGAGCCTGTTACGCATTATTGCACACGTCTGCTTGCTGTGTTTAGGGTGCCATTAACAATGAATGGCACTGCAAAGGTGACTCACATTTCTAGTGTGTTTTGTAAACATGCGCAAAAATGTTTGACTTAGCATGCATTTACAAAAATGCTCAGGCGTGAATGAGGCATTAGAAAGTTATCGCTGATGCAGGTGTCCCCATTTCCCTCTACTCCTGTCCTGGAGAGGACTGTAGGATTTTGGTTTTTCCATTACTGCATGACACACAGAACAGATGGAATTTCGGAGAAAATGTGAAAAAGTCATCTCTGGTATTTTTCATGATTAATTGAATTAAGCATTTTTCTGTTTTGCAGGTGCGGTGGGTGTGTGAGCAGTCCTTGGAGGTGTCACTGGTGTCTATCGGAGCATGTGTGTACCCACAACGCAGAGTGCAGCCAGACTCTCATCTACAGCCAAAATGTAAGCACCAGCTTTTATATAATGCAGTGGTCTCCAAACTGGGGGGCTGTATGTTGCCCTCTGCTTGCCTTTATCTGGCCCTTAGGGCTCCTTGCTTCGAAATGTGGCATTGGATATGCTTTTTTAAAGCACTCTGAATGTCAATCAAAGCCCCTGTCACTAAATAAAATGGTCACCTTATAGTCCTGTTCACATGTTGCTTTTGCATTGTTTTGATTAAAAAATTATACCCCATGTTGCTTTCTCCGTGCTTCAAAGCGTCTCCAAAGCCTCCATGGAAAACTTTGACAATTCTCGATAACAGCACCTGCAGCTTTTGAGGAGCTTTTATTCAGAGTTAGCTTTGCTTTGTTTTGAAGGTATTCTAGGTATGAGATATCCCAGGATGCACTGGGAAACCAACAAGTGAACCAAAAAGACCTCATCAGCAGTCACTTCTGGTTAATATGTATATATTCTGGAATTTTCTGGTGCAAAAGTCACATCTGGTTTGCAGCATGGAGCAGCAGGAAGGTGAAGGCAGGGTTCAGACCAGAGTGTAGCAACTAGCAGATAGCATACGTGGTGTGCAACATGAGAACACTATAGCAGAAGGTGAGCGGGGACCAGAGAGAGAGGACTGAGCAGCAGAGGATCAGAAGAGCTGGGGTACTAGAGCAGGAAAAAATAGCAGATATTACATATGGTGTGCAGCATGGGAGCAATATAGCAGGAGGTGGGTGGGGACAGGAGACAGAGGAGAGTTAGCAAACCAGAGGATCTGCAGAGCTGGGGGTTACTACTGAGCGGGGGATCAGTGGAGCTGGGTATTGTTACTGAGTAGGGGATCAGCAGAGCTGGGGTTTACTACTGAGTGGGGGATCAGCAGAGCCGGGGTTTACTACTGAGTGGGGGATCAGCAGAGCTGGGATTTACTGCTGAGTGGGGGATCAGCTGAGCTGGGATTTACTGCTTAGTGGGGGATCAGCAGAGCTGGGATTTACTGCTGAGTGGGGGATCAGCAGAGCTGGGATTTACTGCTGAGTGGGGGATCAGCAGAGCTGGGATTTACTGCTGAGTGGGGGATCAGCAGAGCTGGGATTTACTGCTGAGTGGGGGATCAGCAGAGCTGGGATTTACTGCTGAGTGGGGGATCAGCAGAGCTGGGATTTACTGCTGAGTGGGGGATCAGCAGAGCTGGGATGTACTGCTGAGTGGGGGATCAGCAGAGCTGGGATTTACTGCTGAGTGGGGGATCAGCAGAGCTGGGATTTACTGCTGAGTGGGGGATCAGCAGAGCTGGGATTTACTGCTGAGTGGGGGATCAGCAGAGCTGGGATTTACTGCTGAGTGGGGGATCAGCAGAGCTGGGATTTACTGCTTAGTGGGGGATCAGCAGAGCTGGGATTTACTACTGAGTGGGGGATCAGCAGAGCTGGGATTTACTACTGAGTTGGGGGATCAGCAGAGATAGGGTTTACTACTGAGCGGGGGGATCAGCAGAGCTGGCGGTTACTACTGAGCGGGGGATCAGCAGAGCTTGGAGTTACTGCTGAGCAGGGGATCAGCAGAGCTTGGGGTTAATACTGAGTGGGGAATCAGCAGAGCTAGGGGCTACTACTGAGTGGGGAATCAGCAGAGCTGGGGTTTACCACTGAGTGGGGAATCAGCAAAGCTGGGGGTACTACTGAATGGGGGGATCAGCAGAGCTGGGGTTTACTTCTGAGTGGGGGATCAGCAGAGCTTGGGCTTACTACTGAGCGGGGGATCCGCAGACCTTGGGGTTACTACTGAGCGGGGGATCTGAAGACCTTGGGGTTACTACTGAGCAAGGGATCTACTGAATGAGGATTCTAAGAAGCTGGGGATCTGCTTAATGTGGGTACTATTGAGCCAGGGTTCCACTGGACCCCTTTAAAACAAATAGAAAATCAACACAACCAGGGCATTTGCCAAGCTTCATTAAAGCTTCAAAAAAAACATCTCAGATGCATCACCAATACATCAAAAAACATGTTGAATTGGTAGGCGCATTGATGAGTGTTCTGTCAAAGTCAAAGCAAGTGTAAATGAGCCATTAGGGCAGTGTTCTGGCTTGTGTAGCAATTGTATATGCTATTTTTTTTCCCAAGAAAGTGAATGTAGCACTTGTCCCCATAGAGGCCACTGTGGAATTGAATAGTATTATTCTCAGGTTAGTGCAAAGCAACCAGGTAAACAGCTGTCCTCTATCCACTCTGCCTCAGTAAACAGTCTAGTGATCTCTTTTTGTAAATTTTTTGCTGGTAGAATTTGGGGAGGGGATCAGGGAGTGAAGCAGGGTACTCCAAAATGGAACAGATTGCTCTTGGAGGACACTTCTACATTGACAGCAGCACTAGTAATCACGGAGGTTAATGATAATTGGCTAGGACAATATATACGTGCATAGCTCATCACCATGCACTAAAAATGTAGAAACAAGTCATAGACTGAGGTAGTGCACATTTTACGGCCAGAGACCATGAAAACTTCAGCACAAGAGAGGAAGCTTCCCCATACAGAACATTACAGAAGAGCACAGCAGTGGGTAGATGTTGCTGTACTATTGACGGTTGGGCTACATGAAGAACCAGCCATTGAATAAAGATCAGCAATCACTCTACGAGACCCCTAGCACACCAAGGCCACTAGGAGTGCAGAGGCATGACTCAACCAAGAGAGGAATCTTTACTCCTGGGGTCCCAAAGTGTACTCAGTCCATAGACACAGTCCTAATGAATAAGTCCACTGTCCAGCCTAGAAGTGCCCAAGGGCAAGCAGATCCAATGAAGCTCAGAGGTCCATTCCCACAAAGGGGAAAGGCATTCTCCTCTGGACACCAGCCTATTTAACAGGAACCCATTCACCATCTGAGCACACCTCCCCAGGGATTGGATATGCCCTGTTAATTATTTAAGCCAGGTATTTGAATCCTCCAGCCCTAACCTCCAGAAGCTTCTCCTAGAGTCAGGAAGAGGTAATCAAACTCTGAGTCTGGTGTCTCGAGCAGACCAAACAAAACAATTTTTGTCTCCTGTGGCTACAGCAGACGCCCCATACTAAATAACAGCCTATGTATGATTGTCCTACATGAAGTTGCCCTTTAAGGGTGCTCCTTGATGCTTTTTTTCAGTATCTGTGGGACAGTATCTGTGGGATTAAAGAAAAGAAAGTTGGTGGGGCCCTTGATGACGTGTTTCAAGAGACAGAAAAAGGAAAGGCGATAGGGCATATTTGCTCAGTCTGTCTGGATATGAAAGTAAAAAGTTATTAGAAGTTTGCCTTAAATTTTTTAAAAGGTCATGGACCCCAATTCCACTTATTACTTCTCGTAAAACAAAAGCATTCATATCCGTGGTTGTAGTAGCCTCCTACTCAGATGTCTTCAATCTGTCTAAATCTGGTAAATATCTTGTGCCTCCTACAGGATGAAGATAAGGAGCTGTCGGGTCCAGATAATTGCCCGAGAATAGAGAGGGTTGAGGGGTCCCGTCTGATTCCTGTTGGCTTGGAAAGAGAATTGGACCTTATTGGACGGAATCTCAATCTTCTCAATGTGAGTTGGTTTTGCATAGTGCGGTTGAAAAAAAGTCCATCTAGTTCACCCAATGGAAAAAAAAATAGAATAAACAGAAAACCTCCATATACAGAATCCTATAACCACGGCTGATCCAGAGGAAGACAAACCCCCCCCCCCTCCCAATAAAGCTTTTTTCGATTTGCTCCAGCAGGGGGAAAAAATATTTCCTGATTTCCCATAAGACCATCATATTTTCCCGGGATCACCTTCTCCTGGTGTTATTACCTAGAAATGTTGGTATCCAGTTTTCTTCAGATCAGGAAGCTTTTGTCATAGAAACCAAAAAAATATGGAGGCTGCCACTGCTGACCTGAAAATGTCATTGCTGTGTCTTCAATACTAAAAAGAGTCATAAATGTAAATGCTGATAATAGCCCGAGGAGCTAATATATATATAATATCTTATATATATATATATATATAATAAAGACCCACTATATATATATATAGAGAGAGAGAGAGAGAGAGAGAGAGAGAGAGAGAGAGAGAGAGAGAGAGAGAGAGAGAGAGAGAGAGAGAGAGAGAGAGAGAGAGAGAGAGAGAGAGAGAGCCTTTGGGTATCCCTCCATGCTTCTGAGAGAGAGAGAGAGAGAGAGAGAGAGAGAGAAATGAGAGAGAGATATAGAGATAGGATAGAATCTATGAATCTGCCTGGGATTAAATCTTTCCTCATTCCTTCTAAATCTGAATATAAGGTTTGGGTAGCGTTCCACTTTAGCTTCTAGAACTGAGATTGTATGGTTTCTCTCCCCTGTTTGCCCTGTTTTCCCACAGAAAAAAAACACTTTGCTTCACTAAAACCTGTGTCCTAATTCCAGTTAAATACATTTAAATTACTGGTAATCACATGTAATAGTGCTGGAGTTCTTATCACAGGCCGGATATCATGCTGAATGGCATGTGATTTGTGTTAGAGCAGCTGGAAGAGTCATTGGGCAGAGATGTGTTCTCTCGTCTCTGCAGACCGCTTATTCAATAAGAGACTGGGGGGGGGGGGGGGGTTAAGGAAAAGTGCAATGTCCAAAAACAACCAATCAGATCTCTCCAAATGGGGGTTCCAATTTTTCCGTGCACCCATAGGCTATATTTCAGGTATAAATTGACTGTGAGATAGTGATATGAGCAGTGTAAGATGCATAGTAGCTTCAACTCTGTTTTTTGCAAAAAAAATATATATATATACAGTGTGCGTGTGTATGCATGTATGTGTGTATGTGTGTATGTGTATGTGTGTGTGTATATATATATATATATATATCTCACACATATAATTGCAACTGAACTCCAGCAGTAGACGTGCATGCTGAGGCAAATGATCATCAGATTGCACACCCGAAGTCTGCAGCATCCAGTGGACAGCAGGGAGGAGCATGAACAGCTACAGAGATGCTGGGGAAGTGTTCTTCCATATAAAGCTCCTCAAAGTGGATCCGAGGGGAGGGTGCTGCGATGTTCCTCCATTTTCTGTCTGAACAGCTTCAATCCTCATCAGTCCCCTCTACTTTTTAGTCCATCTCTCACGGCTGTTAGCCTTCTTTGCCATTAATCATTTTTATTCCCTAATATTACATGACAAAACACATCCCAGTATACCTTCAGACATGCATGCTCAAGCAACTGGTAGGCAAACTGCAGCTAAAGTCTACAGCATCCAGTGGCCAGCAGGGAGGGACATGCACATCTAAATGGATGCTCGGGACGTGTTCTTTCTTGAAAGAGGAGCTGAGGGAGGGTGCCGTGCTGTCTCTCCCCAAACCAGCAGCAGTCTTTGCTGATAAAGTCACTGGGTCTGAACCCCAGCCTTACTTTTTTGAACCCACACTTGTAGCAAGTGTTTTCCTGTATCACCCTTTGAAGCTGCAGAAGCTATTTTGAGCCCACCTTCATTTCCTGTCTGAATAGCTTAAATCATCATCAATCCCCTCTTCTCCAGAACTGTTGTTGCTAGCCTCTCACAGAAATTAGTTTTCTGTCAATCATTTTGTTCCTGTTATATGAAAGCACACATAGGGATGCATCCCTTTAGATTTGCATGCTCCAGCAACTGATCAGCAGATTGCACAGCTAAAAGCTGCAACACCCAGTGGACAGCAGGGAGGAGCATGCATATCTAAAGCGAGACCAGGGATGTGTTCTTTCATGTAATGTTCTTGAAAGATGATCTAAGGGATGGTGTTGTGATGCTTATAGGAGCTTTTTGGCCCCTCCCACCAATCCTAGAGTGAAGACCAGCAGACAAACCCAGTGATGAAGTCCTTGAGATTTATTATTACTTACAGCTGAACTCCAGTCTTGCCTTTTTTCCCTGCATTTGTAGCAAGTCCTCCTCGGTGTTGAAACTGATTACTCTCAATTCCCTGCAAACTTTCATTTCCATGATATAACCCTTTGAAGCTGCAGCTGCTTCTTCATTTTGAATCCACTTTATTTGTTGTCTGGACAACTTCAATTATCAGCAATCCTCTCTTCTCCTGAATGGTTGTTGCCAACCTTTCACAGCTATTCGCTTTCTCTGCCATCATTTATTTTTTTTCCCTAAGTATATGAAAGAACACCTCCCAGACATCCCTTTAGATGTAAGCAAAAGAAAACCACGAAAGGACGCATTCTCCTCATGCATTACCATGGTTACAAATGAATTAATTAAAAACGCAACAAATGGATACTCTCAAACCAAATGTAAAAAACGAACATGAAGCCAAATGGGTCAATGTCACACGACTGGAGTCCTGTGATGATGGTGCCCGGTGGGAAAAGCTGACGCATTTCATGAGATGATCTCCCTTTTTTCAAAGCTAAGATGGTAGAGAATTTTTTTTACATTTGTTTGTGAGTATCCATTTGTCACGTTTTTAATAAATTAATTTGTTACCACGGTAATGCATGAGGAGAGTGCGCCCTTTTGTGTTTTTCTTTTGCTAGTATCAAGACTCCCCCCATCTTTAGAGGGCTGCACCACACCAAGTAACAGATACAGTTTTACATGTGGAGCATGAAGATTAGAGCGCTGGTGTTTGTTTCCTTTGGATCCCTTTAGATGTGCATCAAGCAACTGATCAGCAGAATGCATGGGCAAAAATAAAATAAAATAAAGGAGTGCGCTTGCAGATATGCACATTCTTGCATGCTGCTGCATGGCCAGGGGCAACCCTATATAAAAAAGCCACATCTGTCTTATGAACGCGACATGGCTCTTAGCACCAGAATCTGTGAGGTACCATAAGGCTAGCCATTTCTCCAGCTTCTAATAAATTCTGAAATTCTGTGCATGCACTTACTGTTTAATCAGATTGCATTTTAAAATCTTTTATTTTTCTGTTTGGTTTTGTATTACTGCATTTTGTACAATGTTCTTTCCACTGTCTTCTCTGAAAGGTAAGGCTGGAATTTTATTGCCATTTTAGAGCGGAGATTCAGATTATTACAAATACAGCCTGTACTGCTTAGCCTAGTTCACTGTAATGGAGCAATGATTTCTGCACCCTGTAACTAGTATTTCTATGACATTCTAGGGCGGGGTTCTGGAGTACAGCTGTATCATAGAGGTGGAGGGTTCCCCCATCACTCTGCGAGCACAGGTGGAGAAAATGTCTGGAGAAGAGGACCTGTATTCAGTGCATTGTGAGACCTACAAGGTTTGTAGACATCTGTGCTAGAGGAGAAGATTCAAAGACCATTGTACATAGTCATTCTATAAGGGGTTTATCATGCTTCTTGGTTGTGGGCCCCGATAACATACCTGTGATGACAGAAATTCCCCCGTTTATGTCATGGAAAAGCTGCTTGTGTGTTATTTTTGCCCATCCACTCACAAATGCTCTACACCAGCCTCTTTTTAACTTCTTTACCCAAGAGGAACCCTTAAAATAATTTTAGGTCTCTGGGAAACCCTGCTAAAATAAATTCACTGGAGGTCAATGAGCAATATGGCCCTTACATTTATAGTCAATAGGAAGAATGTCTCCTCTAAGAATACCACCCTTACAGACAGCTAGGGCAAGTGGCATTAGACCTAGAACCATGCAGGCACCATCAGATGGGAGATCCGTCCTCCATGGCTCAAGAAAACTCTTGCAGCTGCTGAATGCCATAGAATTCTGGTAGAGAATGGCTGCTCTACGCAGTCTCCCGTTATTAATGCCATACTTTTTTCACCTGAGTCTTGCTATGTCCTTTATAATCCCACTTATTTAGCATATACATATATATATAAAAAAAAAGTGTGTTATAATAACTTACATTCTCTAAAGCAACACCTACCTTTCACCTTGGCCACCAATCACCCCAGCACACTTTGGTACTCTCTCTTTAGCACACAGTGAACTCTCCTTACCATGAAATGGTTGGTTGGTTGGGCTTGCCTCCGGAGCCAGAGTTCCTAGTCCTTCCATGCCCAAGTGTAAAGGTGAGATATACATACAGTATCAGTAATAGTTTGTATTTTCCCATATAACCTAGCTGGAGTACTGAGTACAAGAGGGAGGCTTGCCTAATGACGGTCATTCATGGATTGAATTTCGACCAGTTCCCAATGAATTGGCCAAAATTCAAGCCATGGGTGGTCCTGCTCCGCAAACTTCGACCAAGAAATCAAAGGAGCCAGGTGGTTAAAAAAAAAAAAAAAAAATAAGCCATACAGTGCCTGCAGCATATAAATTTATTTTTTTTTTAAACCCCTGCTTACCGGGGGTCTTCTGCACAAACCAGATACCCACCCAGTAGCTTCAGCGTTGTCCCTTTGCTTGGTCCCGTGCTGCCATGTTGAGGCGTCATGTCATTGGTAGGCACTAGGTTTTCCCCAGTTCAGCCAGCCACCCTACTTATGACATGCTGCTTGGCCTGCCCCCCTCCTATGGATTATTATTATTATACAGCGCCAACAGTATAAATAAATTATTATTTATATAGCGCCAACAGTTCGCTCAGCGCTGTACATTATAATAGGAGACAATACATGAGACAGTACAGTAACAATACAATATAATACACGAGGGGTTCGAGGGCCCTGCTCCTTGGAGCTTACAATCTAGGATTAAATGGTCATTCCCTCCAGGGATATGCACGTCACAAATCCAGGAGGCAAAGGGCGCGCAGTCCATGTCATTCTGGGCGAATGAAGTACACTAGGGGTCTAACCTTAACACATTGTAAAAAAAAAAAAAAAAAAGACAGGACTATTTAAGGATGGGGGGGAAGAGGAGGGAAGAGTTCCGAAAGGGTGAAGAGCCACTTCAAGACAGTTCTACGTGTGTTCCTGACATTACATGACAATTCCTTTAACAATAAAATTGTCCAATGTTACCATTAGCTTACGAAGTGTTCTTGACGATGGACTGTAATTTATGTTATAAAAAGTCTTAATAAAATATCATGTTTTATAAAAAAAAAAGTGTCCAACTTATTAAACTCTGAACTGTTTTAGAACATATTTGCTAAGCTCTTACGTGTGTAATAAAGCAGCTCAGATTTAATAAGATTGAAGTTTCATAAAATATATAGAAAGCACATGCTGCCGCCATTTTGCCCCTCCTTATAGTCCGCACCTCATAAGGCCAGCAGTGCAGATCGAACTATAAAGGCCCCCTCCACACTATGCTGTTCCATTGCAGTGTGTTGGTCACATCGCATTAAAGTGTTACTAAACCCACAATAGTAACATCAGTCTGTATATGCAGTAAATCATGCTTGTTATACTCCCTGTGGAACCTAAGGGGTTAATCTTCTGCATTGTGTAAAAAGGTTGTTTGATCCTGTCTTCTCTGATCCTCCCCTTCTACTGTCCCCAATCCATCTGCTGGTAGAACAGAGCCTTGGGGGCAAGCTCTACATGCTCAATGTGGTGTGTATTGCTAGAGAGTTGTTTTTTTTTTCTCTTGGGAAAGTGCATATGATCAGCACAGGGCCACTCAGCACTGTCCAAACAGAGGGTCAGGGGTTCTGCATCCTCCTAGAGCAGAAAGAAAACTCTTCCTACAAGCTTTAACCAGTGCTCTGCTGGACACTGATAAAAGTCACAGGACTGCTATATACTACTGATGGGAGCAGGTATTTATCAGTTTATATTTACTAAAATAATTGCATTTCCATGTTCTGTGTACTGTGGGGGACCAGCTAGAGTGGATGCATGGTCCGGGGAGACCAGCTAGAGTGAATGCAGGGTCCGGGGAGAGACCAGCTAGAGTGAATGCAGGGTCCGGGGAGAGACCAGCTAGAGTGAATGCAGGGTCAGGAGAGACCAGCTAGAGTGAATGCAGGGTCTAGAGTGAATGCAGGGTCCGGGGAGACCAGCTAGAATGAATGCAGGGTCCGGGGAGAGACCAGCTAGAGTGAATGCAGGGTCCAGGGAGACCAGCTAGAGTGAATGCAGGGTCTGGAGAGACCAGCTAGAGTGAATGCAGGGTCGGGAGAGACCAGCTAGAGTGAATGCAGGGTCGGGAGAGACCAGCTAGAGTGAATGCAGGGTCCGGGGAGACCAGCTAGAGTGAATGCAGGGTCCGGGGAGACCAGCTAGAGTGAATGCAGGTCCGGGGAGACCAGCTAGAGTGAATGCAGGGTCCGGGGAGACCAGCTAGAGTGAATGCAGGGTCCGGGGAGACCAGCTAGAGTGAATGCAGGGTCCGGGGAGAGACCAGCTTGAATGAATGCAGGGTCCGGGAAGACCAGCTAGAGTGAATGCAGGGTCGGGAGAGACCAGCTAGAGTGAATGCAGGGTCGGGGGAGAGACCAGCTAGAGTGAATGCAGGGTCCGGGGAGACCAGCTAGAGTGAATGCAGGGTCCGGGGAGACCAGCTAGAGTGAATGCAGGGTCCGGGGAGACCAGCTAGAGTGAATGCAGGGTCCGGGGAGACCAGCTAGAGTGAATGCAGGGTCCGGGGAGACCAGCTAGAGTGAATGCAGGGTCCGGGGAGGCCAGCTAGAGTGAATGCAGGGTTCGGGGAGGCCAGCTAGAGTGAATGCAGGGTCCGGGGAGAGACCAGCTAGAGTGAATGCAGGGTCCGGGGAGACCAGCTAGAGTGAATGCAGGGTCCGGGGAGAGACCAGCTAGAGTGAATGCAGGGTCCGGGGAGAGACCAGCTAGAGTGAATGCAGGGTCCGGGAGACCAGCTAGAGTGAATGCAGGGTCCGGGAGACCAGCTAGAGTGAATGCAGGGTCCGGGGAGGCCAGCTAGAGTGAATGCAGGGTCGGGAGAGACCAGCTAGAGTGAATGCAGGGTCGGGAGAGACCAGCTAGAGTGAATGCAGGGTCCGGGGAGACCAGCTAGAGTGAATGCAGGGTCCGGGGAGACCCAGCTAGAGTGAATGCAGGGTCCGGGGAGACCAGCTAGAGTGAATGCAGGGTCCGGGGAGACCAGCTAGAGTGAATGCAGGGTCCGGGGAGGCCAGCTAGAGTGAATGCAGGGTCGGGAGAGACCAGCTAGAGTGAATGCAGGGTCGGGAGGAGAGACCAGCTAGAGTGAATGCAGGGTCCGGGGAGACCAGCTAGAGTGAATGCAGGGTCCGGGGAGACCAGCTAGAGTGAATGCAGGGTCCGGGGAGACCAGCTAGAGTGAATGCAGGGTCGGGAGAGACCAGCTAGAGTGAATGCAGAGTCCTGGGTTTAGCAACATTTTGTTATCCAGTTCATCAAGCCTGGACTGCCAATGCATGGTAATGTATAGCAATGCTGGTGATAGCCCCCCCGTGGTGTTCCCTCCTGACCCCCCCATGGGTCCATAATGTCCACAGGCGGGTGTTCTGAGAGAGTGATGGTCTTGTGTTACTTTAAGGATCACAACTAATTTGTCCTTTTGGCTCATCCTTATAACCCCGAGATTAGTAATCAGTACATTCTACAACCTTTTGTGTCTATGGTCAGTACTTGATTTCAGATTCTTTATTTCTCTTCCAGTACGAATACCCTCTGAATACGTTTGAGCATCCAGTTACTGTGTATGTGAAGAAGGGGGATGTATACCGAGTAGACAATAAGGATGATATAAAGGGTAACTCCTCAGTCTGTCTATGTCCTTCTGTTACTTTTTATAATAATTAACATTTTTGGGCTCATTCGCACGGGCATCTATCATTGCCGTCCCACTGAAAACCAATCTGCAGGAAATTGCTTTTCAGAGAGAGACATATCACCTCCTCACGGCCTGTTTTAACCCTCAAGATGCTGACCCACCACACGCATTGCACGTAGTTGTAGTGGGGCGCAAGCAGTTATAAAGATTGCGTTGGGTGGCGATAATGCAGGCTGAGTACAATTTGCGTTTTGGTTTTTACAGCAAATTATCACAGCCTACGCACCGCATATGTACAGCTCTGAGCGGTTGCATTTATTTTATTTTATTTATTGCAGGTACTTGTATAGCGCTGTTAGTTTACGCAGCACTTTACATATATATTTTGCATTCACATCAGTCCCTAACCCTCAAGGGGTGTACAATCTAAGGTCCCTAAAATGCATTCATACATACACATACTAGGGCCAATTTAGACAGGAGCCAATTCACCTACCAGCATGTCTTTGCAGTGTGGGAAGAATTCCACACAGGCACAGGGAGTACATGCAAACTCCAGGCAGGTGGTGCCATGTTTGGAATTCGAACCAACGATCCTAGTGCTGCTAGGTGGAAGTGCCCGCCACTCACTCACTGTGCTCCCCGCATGCCCTTCTTTTGGTTGGCTGTCCAATGCGATCCAACCGCCTGCTTTAACCGCCCCCTGATTGCCTGTGTGAACGAGTCCATGGAGCCATGCTGAATAGGTGCGAGCCAAAGGCAAAGAATGATTTTACAACTGTGAACAAGGTACCTCTGAAATCCTACATTTGACCACTAGGTAGCGCTATATTTATAGACATAGTAGGGGAGATTTACTAAAAACTGGTGCACACAGAATCTGGAGCATCTGTGCATAGTAATCAATCGGCTTTCAGGTTTTAGTCACCGTTCACACCGCTGCGATTGTGCGCAATTTCAGGTTCAATTTCAGGTTCAATTTCTGAAGACTTTATTGCTACTTGTGAAGATCTTCAATGATTTCTTGCAATTTGCAGTGCGATTTCTATTATATTCTATATATGTGAAATTGCAACAAAACTGCAGAAAAAGTAAAGCAAGAACTGCTTTAGAAATCATGCTGCAGCAAATTGCACATGTTAAGACACTGATATTCATTCCTTGCGATTTCAATTCGCAATCACACCAGTATGACCGACAACTTATGCAGGCCATAGATGGGGAGAAAACCGGCCGATTTTTCTTTAAAAACGAAAAATCGGTTGTTCAATCGGCCGACATTACCAGGAAGAAATAAAAAAAAAAAAACGGCCGATTTTCATCCCGTCTACAGCCGGCAAAAAGTGTCTCTGCAGAGAGCTCCGCTATTTCTTTGACAGTTCTTTGACATTTATAGCGGCTGCAACATTGTATCTATTTGTATTTATTTCAGATACAGATGTTTTTATTCGGAAACAAATAGATACAATGTTGCAGCCGCTATAAATGTCAAAGAACTGTCAAAGAAATAGCGGAGCTCTCTGCAGGGACACTTTTTGCCGGACTGGAATTCTTCTTCTTCATCCTCCTTCTTCTTCATGCTCTTCTTCATCTTCTTCCTCATCTTCTTCTTCTTCCTCATCTTCTTCTTCTTCCTCATTTCTTCTTCTTCCTCATCTTCTTCCTCATCTTCTTCCTCATGCTTTCTTCATCTTCTTCCTCATCTTCTTCTTCTTCCTCATCTTCTTCTTCTTCCTCATCTTTCTTCTTCTTCCTCATCTTCTACTTCTTCCTCATCTTCTTCCTCTTCTTCTTCCTCTTCCTCTTCCTCTTCTTCTTCCTCTTCCTTTTCTCTTCTTCTTCTTCATCTTCTTCTTCTTCTTCTTCTTCTCCTCTTCTTCTTCTCCTTCTTCATCCTCTTCTTCTTTCTCTTCTACTTCCTCTTCTTCTTCTTCATCCTCTTCTTCTTCATCATCCTCTTCTTCTTCATCATCCTTCTTCTTCTTCATCATCCTTCTTCTTCTTCATCCTCTTCTTCTTCATCATCCTCTTCTTCTTCATCATCCTCTTCTTCTTCTTCTTCTTCATCATCCTCTTCTTCTTCTTCATCATCCTCTTCTTCTTCTTCATCATCCTCTTCTTCTTCTTCATCATCCCTCCTCTTCTTCTTCTTCATCATCCTCTTCTTCTTCTTCATCCTCTTCTTCTTCTTCTTCCTCTTCTTCTTCTTCTTCTTCTTCTTCCTCTTCTTCTTCTCCTTCTTCATCCTCTTCTTCTTTCTCTTCTACTTCCTCTTCTTCTTCTTCATTCTTCTTCTTCTTCATCATCCTCTCTTCTTCATTCATCCTTCTTCTTCTTCATCATCCTTCTTCTTCTTCATCCTCTTCTTCTTCATCATCCTCTTCTTCTTCATCATCCTCTTCTTCTTCATCATCTCTTCTTCTTCATTCATCCTCTTCTTCTTCATCATCCTCTTCTTCTTCTTCATCATCCTCTTCTTCTTCTTCATCATCCTCTTCTTCTTCTTCTTCATCCTCTTCTTCTTCTTCATCATCCTCTTCTTCTTCTTCATCCTCTTCTTCTTCTTCATCATCCTCTTCTTCATCCTCTTCTTCTTCTTCTTCATCCTCTTCTTCTTCTTCTTCATCCTCTTCTTCTTCTTCTTCATCCTCTTCTTCTTCTTCTTCATCCTCTTCTTTCATCCTCTTCTTCCTCTTCTTTTTGTCTTCCTCTTGCAGGTCACTGCTCATGCGCAGATTTTTTTATCGGTAAAAAGATCGGCCGATTTGCCCATCATTGCCGCGAAAATCGGCCGATTGTTTTCAAACTTTACCGATAAAAAAAATCTGCCAAAATACCGAAAAAACGGCTGACCTATTAACCCACTAACGATCCGAAAATCGGCCGATTTTATTTTCGGCCGAAAAATCTGCCGATTTTCCACACACTCTATGGCCTGCATTATTGCCAATGCTTAATTAAACAAGCTGAAGTTACAAGCTGATTGATTACCATGCACAGCTGCACCAGATTCAGTGTGTTCCAGTTTTTGTAAATCTCCCCCACTGTATGCTTGGTTATAGTAGTAGTTAAAAAGCAGCTTTTCAACAGTCAGTTTCTTTTAATAAAGATTAAAAATCAGTTAGTTGGTTATGGCTTGAAATAATCCTTCAGATAGTTAAAAAAAAAAAAAAAAAATCACCCCAATGACTAAGCCCCATGGGCGGGGTGAAACGCGTCGGAGATGTGTGGCTCAGACGGAGCTGGCTGCCACTGACTGCGGCAATCTGCAAACTCTTTGCCTTTAAAACCCTTCAATTCAGTTACGCATTAAAACATTACATGCATTTTTAAATAAAGCTATAGTAGAGGGTTGAGAAAGTTGTCATTTAAGGGGTGCAGTTAAAGATAAAAAAAAGAATGCAGAGCTATCCTTCCTGTGAAAAGGCTCTGTACAAATGGGGTAAAAATGAATGATGTTGGGCTATTTTCTCTGCAGGTCGAATGTTATTTCTTCATACAGATTGAAATGAATCAGGAAAATACTGCATTATGGCCACTAGACGGAGCTGATTATCATAGGAAATAAATTATTTCCTATGATCGTTCGCTTCACATCATGGCCCTAATTGTCAAAGCACATGTAGCATTTTTTTCCCATCTTCATGTGCTAAGACTAGCTATGAGGTTGGACAGGCACATCTCTTCCCTCCCCAGCCATCCGACAACACAACTGTCAAGGAGATGGTTGTATTGACAAACAACACTTTTCTCTCAGTGCTTACCTGCTTTCCTGGAACATATTATCTGACAGTTTCCCCTTCCCTTGCATTCCTTATGGGATGCTTGTGCTTAGAGATGAAGAAAAGTTACATCTGTCAAAGTAGCCATCTCCTTGCTGGCTGCGTTTTTGGATGGCAGTGGAGGGAGCAGGGTTGTCCTGCCTGACCTCACAGCTACTCTTAGCGCATAGGAAGACGGGACAAAGTATTTCCTCTTTAAGGTAACAGAGACCCAACAGATGCCTTTTTTTTAATTCTACACTTCAGGTTTTTTTTTTAAATAATTGAGGTTGTTGGCGATATATTCTGAAACAAACTGATCTCACTTTTGGTCTTTTGTGCTCTTCCTTTTGTGTCACTCCCATTGTCACCATCAGTGACGTTGTATAGCTGCTCCGTTGGACAATCAGACTGCAGTCGTTGCCAGGCCTTGGACCCCGAGTACATGTGCCTGTGGTGTGGTCAGGAAGAGGAAGCCTCATGTGTACATAAGGAACAGTGTGACCAGTCCACCATCAATGTTTGTCCCACGCCGCATATCTACTCAGTAAGTATTGGCAGGCGATGATGGATTTATGAGTGTATGGCTAAAGAGACCCTGTCCCAGTCTAATTTCATTAGAAAGCAGTCACAGCCTGCAGTAGAAAAGTCCAACCCTTGCCAGCCAGAGAAGAAGCCTTGATATTTTTATGAAAGCTGTGGTCTCTCTGCAGATATTCAACACATAATCTACTATGTCAGCATTAGAGCTCTCCAATCAACAGGGAACTTTGCTGATTGTACAGCTATAGCTCTGAATTGGCCTCCCCTCCAGCCCACCCTTGTCCCAACCCTCCTCTCCAGATCTGGCTTGTCTCCTCCAGTGCTACGCTGACAGGAGTAGTAAAACTGCTGTCACTACTACTGTCAGCTTGTAGGTAGGAACTCCCCATGTGGAGCCCCCCCCCACCTCACATGATACTACGGTTCCCAAGGCAGCTGCTCCTCCAGCCCACCCCTTGTCCCAACCCTTCTCTCCAGATCTGGCTTGTCTCCTCCAGAGCTACGCTGACAGGAGTAGTAAAACTGCTGTCACTACTCCTGTCATCTTTTAGGTAGGAACTCTCCATGTAGTGCCCTCCCACCTCACATGATACCATGCCGCCCAGGGCAGTTGCCCGTCCAGCCCACTCCTTATCCAGACCTTCCTCTCCACAGCTACGCACTGACAGGAGTAGTGAAACTGCCATCACTACTCCTGTCAGTTTGTAGGTAGGAACTCTCCATGTGGTGCCCCCGCACCTCACATGATACCATGGTGCCCAAGGGAACCGCTCCTCCAGCCCACCCCTTGTCCCGACCCCCCTCTCCTGATCTGACTTGTCTTCTAGAGCTACGCTGACAGGAGAAGTAAAGCTGCCATCACTACTCCTGTCAGCTTGTAGGTAGGGAACTCTCCATGTGGCCCCCCCCCCCCCCACCTCACATGATACCACGGTGCCCCAGGCAGCTGTCCATCCAGCCCACCCCTTGTCCCGGCCCTGAGAGAGATCACCATTTCCACACATAGATGGGACCTTTTCTGCAGCAATGCTGGCAGAGGCGGGCTTTCTACTGCAGGCTGTGGCTGCTTTCTAAAGAAGATAAACTTTTAAGCACGCCATACATGGAACAAATTTCATCCAGTTCCTGAGAAACCAATGCAAGCCTTGGGTGGTGACATCCCTCAGTCTGCAAATTGAAGAAGCCAGAAAATTGTCAGCCGAACAGAGGCTTCATCCAATCAGATGTAGTTACAGTTTGGGTATTCTGACAGCTGAGTGTTCTGTCTGTCAGTATACAATAGCCAATATGGGATATTTGTCCATCCATGCTGTTTATATGACAGAAAGCAGGATGCCATTACAGACCTCTACTTCTGAAAATGCTAGCGACCTGGCTGTCTTACCAGTTTCTCAACCCTCCAAGGCAATCGGATATCCCCTGGATCAACTTTGCCTATAAATGTTAGTATCCAGTTATATTCTGTGTATCTAAGAAACAATCCAGGACTTTTTTGAAGCAATCCACGGAGCTGGCCAGAACCAGCTCTTGAGAGAGTCTGTTCCACATTTTCACAGCTCTTACTGTGAAGTACCCTTTCCATGTTTGGAGATTAAATTCCTTTTTCCTCCAGACGTAAAGAGTGCCCCCTTTGTCCTCTGTGATGACCTCAGGGTGAATAACTCTACACCGAGTTCACTATATGGACCACTGATGTATTTATACATGGAGATCATATCCCCCTTATGTATTATACATGGAGATCATATCCCCCCTTATGTATTATAGATGGAGATCATATCCCTTCTTATGTATTATACATGGAGATCATATCCCCCTTATGTATTATACATGGAGAATCATATCCCCCCCTTATGTATTATACATGGAGATCATATCCCCCTTATGTATTATATACATGGAGATCATATCCCCCCTTATGTATTATACATGTTGATCATATCCCCCCTTATGTATTATACATGTTGATCATATCCCCCCCCTTATGTATTATACATGGAGAAAATCCCCCCTTATGTATTATACATGGAGAGATCATATCCCCCCTTATGTATTATACATGGAGATCATATCCCCCCTTATGTATTATACATGGAGATCATATCCCCCCCTTATGTATTATACATGAGATCATATCCCCCCTTATGTATTATACATGGGAGATCATATCCCCCCTTAATGTATTATACATGGAGATCATATCCCCCTTATGTATTATACATGGAGATCATATCCCCCCTTATGTATTATACATGGAGATCATATCCCCCCTTATGTATTATACATGGAGATCATATCCCCCCTTATGTATTATACATGGAGATCATATCCCCCCTTATGTATTATACATGGAGATCATATCCCCCCTTATGTATTATACATGGAGATCATATCCCCCCTTATTATTATACATGGAGATCATATCCCCCCTTATGTATTATACAATACATGGAGATCATATCCCCCCTTATGTATTATACATGGAGATCATATCCCCCCTTATGTATTATACATGGAGATCATATCCCCCCTTATGTATGTATTATACATGGAGATCATATCCCCCTTATGTATTATACATGGAGATCATATCCCCCTTATGTATTATACATGGAGATCATATCCCCCCTTATGTATTATACATGGAGATCATATCCCCCCTTATGTATTATACATGGTGATCATATCCCCCTTATGTATTATACATGGAGATCATATCCCCCCCCCCCTTATGTATTATACATGGAGATCATAATATCCCCCCTTATGTATTATACATGGAGATCATATCCCCCTTATGTATTATACATGGAGATCATATCCCCCCTTATGTATTATACATGGAGATCATATCCCCCCTTATGTATTATACATGGAGATCATATCCCCCCTTATGTATTATACATGGAGATCATATCCCCCCTTATGTATTATACATAGGAGATCATATCCCCCCTTATGTATTATACATGGAGATCATATCCCCCCATGTTATTATACATGGGGATCATATCCCCCTTATGTATATACATGGAGATCATATCCCCCCCTTATGTATAATACATGGGGATCATATCCCCCCTTATGTATTAATACATGGAGGATCATATCTACCCCCCTTATGTATTATACATGGAGATCATATCCCCCCCTTATGTATTATACATGGAGATCATATCCCCCCTTTATGTATTATACATGGAGATCATATCCCCCTTAAAATATACATGGAGATATATCCCCCTATATTATACATGGAGATCATATCCCCCCTTATGTATTATACATGGTGATCATATATCCCCCCTTATGTATTATACATGGAGATCATATCCCCCCTTATGTATTATACATGGAGATCATATCCCCCTTATGTATTAATACATGGAGATCATATCCCCCCCCTTATGTATTATACATGGAGATCATATCCCCCCTTATGTATTATACATGGAGATCATATCCCCCCTTATGTATTATACATGGAGATCATATCCCCCCTTATGTATTATACATGGAGATCATATCCCCCCTTATGTATTATACATGGAGATCATATCCCCCCTTATGTATTATACATGGAGATCATATCCCCCCTTATGTATTATACATGGAGATCATATCCCCCCTTATGTATTATACATGGAGATCATATCCCCCTTATGTATTATACATGGAGATCATATCCCCCCTTATGTATTATACATGGAACCATCATATCCCCCCTTATGTATTATACATGGAGAACATATCCCCCCTTATGTATTATACATGGAGATCATATCCCCCCCTTATGTATTATACATGGAGATCATATCCCCCTTATGTATTATACATGGAGATCATATCCCCCCTTATGTATTATACATGGAGATCATATCCCCCCTTATGTATTATACATGGAGATCAATATCCCCCCTTATGTATTATACATGGAGATCATAATCCCCCTTATGTATTAATACATGGAGATCATATCCCCCCTTATGTATTATACATGGAGCGCATCATATCCCCCCTTATGTATTATACATGGAGATCATATCCCCCTTATGTATTATACATGGAGATCATATCCCCCCCTTATGTATTATACATGGAGATCATATCCCCCCCCCCTTATGTATTATACATGGAGATCATATCCCCCCCTTATGTATTATACATGGTGATCATATCCCCCCTTATTATTATACATGGAGATCATATCCCCCTTATGTATTATACATGGAGATCATATCCCCCCCTTATGTATTATACATGGAGATCATATCCCCCCCTTATGTATTATACATGGAGATCATATCCCCCTTATTATTATACATGGAGATCATAAATTATGTATTTATACATGGAGATCATATCCCCCCCTTATGTATTATAACATGGAGATCATATCCCCCCTTTATGTATTATACATGGAGATCATATCCCCCCTTAATGTATTATACATGGTGATCATATCCCCCCAAACTTATGTATTATACATGGAGATCATATCCCCCTTATGTATTATACATGGAGATCATATCCCCCTTATGTATTATACATGGAGATCATATCCCCCCTTATGTATTATACATGGAGATCATCAATCCCCCCTTATGTATTATACATGGAGATCATATCCCCCCTTATGTAAATATACATGGAGGTGAGATCATATCCCCCTTTATGTATTATAACATGGTGATCATATCCCCCCTTATGTATTATACATGGAGATCATATCCCCCCTTATGTATTATACATGGATATCATATCCCCCCCTGTATTTAAGATACATGGAGCTGATCAGCGTCCGATCCCCCTTCATGTATTAAAACATGGAGATCATAAAATCACCTTATGTATTATACATGGAGATCATATCCCCCTTACGTATTATACATGGAGATCATACCCCCTTACGTATTATACATGGAGATCATATCCCCCCTTACGTATTTACATGGATATCATACCCCCCCGCTTATGTATTATACATGTTGTTTAGATCATATCCCCCCCCTTATGTATTATACATGGAGATCATATCCCCCCTTAATCTCTCTCTCAAGAGAGAATAAATTCAGTTCCTCTAATCTTTCCCTCATAGCTGAGCTCCTCCATGCCTCTTATCAGTTTTAGTTGCCCTTCTCTGCACTTTCTCCAGTTCCCCAATGTTCTTTTTTGTGAATTGGTGCCCAAAACTGAACTGCATATTCCAGATGAGGTCTTACTAATGATTTGTACCGGGGTAATATGATATCTCTCTCTCCGGAGTCTATACTTCTTTTAATACAAGAAAGGATTTTGCTCGCTTAAGAAACTGTATAGACAGTGGGTGGGGGGGGGGGGGGGTGTTACACTTCGTGATCATGTTTTAATTGCTTCTCTTTTAGTTTTTCCCATCCACTGGGATTATTGATGGAGGAGCAATCATAACGATTAATGGCCGGAACATGGGCCAGAAAGCAGAGGACATATCAGTGACTGTTTGTGACCAGCCGTGCACGGTTTTGCCTGAGTTGTATGTCGTCTCTAACAGGTAGGTATACAGTCTGTACAGTGTCCCTTTATTATTACACTGCATAGGTAAGAGGTTTTGATGATTTTGTATGGCTCCCTTTAAATGCGATGTCTTATTCACCAGCAGCTGCTTACACACTGTTGTCAGGCCTTTGGGGTGTTTAATTTCAGTGCCTGGTCCATTATAAAAGTTCCAGTAGCTGGCTTTTATCAAACATAACGCTTCCTGAAATAGATGTGTTTTATGGCTCTGCATGCTGCCGGATGGCATTTTACTTGTAATGGATTTACTGCCTTGGATCATTGCCATGCGTCTTCACCCTGTAGTACACTAGTGCCCTCTGCTGGGAGGTAGTGGTAATGCACTATTCTAAATAAAGCTTCATACATGTTTTACACTGTACTGCAGCCTCCTGTCTGCCCTATAAGTGGGCTGTTATGCCCGGGAGGTGGCGTGGCTTCTGTATCATGTGACCACTGTGATTTGCCTGATCAGAATCCTGTCGGTGACAGCTTGGTCAATGGGCTGGTAACATGCTGTGAGTGCGGTCTCAGCACGTAACTTCTTGCCACCCTATGTGCAACAGGCAGGTGTTAATGCCCACCTTTCGTGCCCCTGCATGTGTGCATTTCACAGTTAACAAGACATTAAAGTGACCCCACCACTACAGGTCATTTTATTTTTTACACTCAGTATCCTATAATGACAAAGTGAAAATAGAATTTTATAAATGTCTGTGAATTTATTAAAAAAGAAAATCTGAAATATACTTTGCTGAAGCACATTTGGCAGCAATTACAGCCTCGAAGGCTTTTTGGGTATGACACGACAAGCTTTGCAGACCTGGATTAGGGAATTTTCTGCCATTCTTCTTTGCAAATCCTCTCAAGCTCAGTCAGATTGGACAAGGATGACTGGTGGACAGCCATTTTCAGGTCTCTCTGGAGATGTTCAATAGGGTTCAAATCAGGGCACTGGCTGGGCCACTCTAGGACATTTACAGAATTGTCCCTAAGCCACTCCTGTGTCGTCTTGGCTGTGTTCTTAGGATGGTTGTCATATTGGAAGGTGAACCTTCGTCCCAGTCTGAAGTCCCAAGCGCTGTGGAACAGGTTTTCATTGAGGATATCTCTGTGCTTTTGCTCAATTCAGCTTTCCCTCAACCATGACCAGTCTCCCAGTCCCTGCTGCTGAAAAAAAACTCCCACAGCATAATGCTGTCACCACCATGCTTCACGGTTGGGATGGTGTGAGCGGTGCCTGGTTTCCTCCAGACGTAACATTTAGAATTAAAGCCAAACAGTTCAACTTAGGTTTCATCAGACGAGAATCTTGTTCCTCACCGTCTGAGAGCCCATCAGGTGCTTTTTTGCATGTGCAAATTCCAAGCAGGCTTTCATGTGTTTTGCACTCAGGAGAGGCTTCCATCTAGCCACTCTGCCATAAAGCCCAGATCGGTGGAGAGCTGCAGTGATAGTTGTATTCCTGAAACATTGTCCCATCTCCACGCAGGATCTCTGGAGCGTAGTGAGAGTGACCATCAGGTTCTTGGTCACCTCTCTTACAAAGGCCTTTGCTCAGTTTGGCCGGTCGACCAGCTCTTGGAAGAGTCCTGGTTGTGCTAAACATCTTCCTCTTGAGAATTATGGAGGCCACTGTGCCCTTGGAAACCTTCAGTGCAGCAGAATTTTTTTGTAGCCTTCCCTAGATCTGTTCCTATCTCTGAGCTCTGCAGGCAGTTCCTTATTTTTCATATAAACCAAGAGGAAAATCCAGCAAGTATCAGTGGCTTTACAAGGTTCCCACCCTAATCAGGGCTTCAGTAAATTGTATTGTACGATTAATTTGTGTAAGCCAAGAAGATCAGCCTACAATTATCAGGGGCTTCAAGGTGTCCCGCTTCATCAGCTTATTATTTTTCATATGAGCCATAAGGACAAGCCAACGAGTATCAGGGTCTTCAAGCTGTTCCCCTTCAATAGGTCTTTAATAACTTGTATAGTGGCCAATATGTTTTTTTGTTTGTTTGTTTTTTTTTTTCATATTTTCATATAAGCCAAGAGGACAACCAATGACTATCAGGGTCTTAAAAGGGTCCTCCTTCATCAGGGCTTCAATGACTTTTATAGAGGTCAATACGTTTGTTATATTTTTTATAAACCTAGAGGACAAACCAACGGGTATGGAGAACTGCAAGGAGTCCCCTGTCATCAGGGCTTCATTAACTTGTATAGGGGCCAATAATATATGTTTTTTTTTCATATTTATTTATTAAAAGTACTTACAGAGTGCTGTCAGTTTATGCAGCACTTTACATATATATTGTACATTCACATCAGTCCCTGCCCTCAAGGGGTGTACAATCAAAGGTCCCTAACTCACATTCATACATACACATACTAGGGCCAATTTAGACAGGAGACAGTTAACCTACCAGCATGTCTCTGAAGTGTGGGAGGAAACTGGACTACCCAGAGGAAACCCACGCAGGCACAGGGAGAACATGCAAATTCCAGACAGGCAGTGCCGTGGTTGAGAGATTCGTACTGACGACCCTAGTGTTGCCAGGTGGAATAGCTAACCACCTAGCCACTGTGCTGCCTCAAAAGGACCAGCCAACAAGTATCAGGGCCTGAAAGGATACCCCTTCATCAGGGCTTTAATACCATTTATAGAAGTCAATAACTTTATTATTTTTCATATGAGCCTAGAGGACAATCCAACAAGTGTTGAGGCTTCAAGGTGTTCCCCTTCATAAGGGCTTCATTAACTTGTATAGAGGCCAATACGTTTTTTTTTATTATTTATATAAGCCAAGAGGACAAGCCAGTGGGTGTTAGGGGCTTCTTGAGGCCCCTTCTTCATTAGGGCTTCAATAGTTTGTATAGAGGCCAATAAGCTTTTTATTTTATATATAAGCCAAAAGGACAGGCCTACTGGTATTGGGGGCTTGAAGGGGGTCCCCCTTCATCAGGATTTTATTAATTTGATCATGTGCAGGGGTGCCAGACGCATTGAGTAAAAAGTCCAATAATAAAAATGTAGCTAGTACGTAAACTTGCTGATATCCTTTTCACTGATATCCTTTCCACTCTTCAGAATTGTGTGCAGTCTATTGGCCAGTGCAGGTGTGGAGTCTGGCAATGTAAAAGTCTCTGTAAATGGCCGTGAACCCGGAATATCCACCCAGCTTTTCTATTACCAGGTGAGTCAACCAACTGCTTTTACAATAGTAAAGCTACAATCGAGACTGAAATTGAGCTTCAAACTTATAAAATGATTACCATTACTTTACCAATGTAGCGCTGGAGTCAGTAACCAGTCCATGAACTTGGTTTTGTGATTTTATTAGGGGTTTAGAACTTGGATGGAATTGATGGGTATATGGGATGTCCAAGGAACTGTAGAAACTTGGACATCTCAGAGCAACTATGTACATAGATGTGGACAAGAAGAAATAGTCTCCCCCTCTGGGAGCATTCAAAGCCCTCTTGTGTACCTCCTCAGACTCCAGATGAACCCTCCTTTTCACTCCGCTGTATTGAGAGTATTGCCTGGGCAAGGGGACCCAGATGTTGCCAGATGAGATGATTCAGTTTTCCATCTGACTGCCCTCTCCCCATCCCAGGGGGTGTAAGAGTACTCGCACTGTCCTTCCTGTCAGCTTGTTGGGTTGGTGGCTGCCTTCAGGCCTTCCGCTGGGTTGGATCCTTCCCTGCTGCTCTGGATGCCCCTCTTAGAAGATGGTGGTGCAGTGGAGATTACCTTTTCCAGCACCCACCTGTAAGTAGGCCCATTCCCTGGGCCCCATCCCAAGCTCCACACTCCATCTTCCACCAGACACTAACTATCTCTCCTCCCTGGCTCTGAGATACTTAAGGGTTGCCTTGGTGATCATGTCCAGCCTCCTGCATTGGGATTGACCAAGGTCCCTCAAGTATGTATATCTGAGTCTCTTCCCTTCCTCCGTCCCTCCTCCAGAAAGCTCAGGTTTCTGGAGAGGTGGGAGGGCTGCAGAAGGTCTGATTTTCAGAACCTCCCTAGCCTATCCTGAGGTGAACTCCTGCCTCCTCACAGACTGATTCATCCTAGGCTGTTACTCTGCCTAAAAAGAAAAAAACAAACAGCCTTTTTAGCTCCCCTGGAGGGCATTACACTAATATGATGATAAAAGGTGAGGAGTACCCTAAAATATGTCAGTTCTGACATTGATCGCACCTACCAGCTTTTAGTATCTTGGGAAGCCTGTTGGCTGATTGTTGAGATTTCTGCTCCTACGTATCACTCTGGTCATAGCATGCTCAGATTAAAGCTGAACTCTGACCTTCCCTTCAGTGTGGGTGTTACTAAGGGTGGTCTACCTGCAAATACAGCCTACCCAGGAATATCCACTCCTCCAGACTAACACCCATCAAGGGATTTACTCTACTTGCATAAGGGCTGAGGGCTCTTGAGAAAAGTACTGAGGCAAGCTTCCGTGATGTTTTCAGTAGTCTATGTACAGCAGCCTGCTATCCCCTCCCATCAGCCATGAGCTGCCTGCATTGCATAGGGAAGAACAGAGACACAGTGATGTAACTAGGTCTAAAATAAGGTATGTAATAAAATTGAAAGGTTTTGTTGAAAAATGTAATTAGCATGTTGATGCGGGGGAAGAGGTTAAGTAAGAAAGATACCCCTCCTGCTAGATTCTCCTTAGAAACACATTTAGCTTGGCATGACACCATTTCTCAGCTGAGGCCACAATGACTGTAGTAAAGGCAGATCTGGAAATCCTTTCTGTGAAATCATATTTTTTTTTGGGTACTGAAAGATGCATGAATCCAGTCAGTGATCCAAGCCCTAGTGCTTACCCAGTTCCCATATTAGTTGTGGTGCAGCGAGTAATTTGAGTATGCAAGGGACATTTGATTGCAAGCTCTGCTAGGGCATTTATTGATCTCTGTGCAATATGTGAAATCTTCTTCTCCGATCTTTACAGGACCCCCAGTTTTATTCTCTGACGCCGGTGAAAGGTCCAATGGCTGGAGGAACCAAGATAACCATCTCTGGAACCAAGCTGTCAACTGGAGATCGGATTACAGTGACTGTGGGAGGCTTGCCATGTGAAGTGTCAGTAGCAGAATTTGTGTTATGTGTTAATGTGATCACACGACTAAAGTCCTTTGTAGTGATGCAGGTTTGTCCTCTTCCTTACAGATTAGAGAATGTGACAGATGGTCAGATATGTTGCATTACTAGCCCTAGTTCTGTCCAGGAGGAGGCGCCAGTTCTTGTGTCCTATGGTGGGGTAAAAAGAAGTCTGGAGGGAACATTGTACAACTACACAGAAAATCCCACCATCTCCTCTGTTTCCCCATCTAGAGCTTTCCGTGGGTAAATAAGTGGAGAAAAAAAAATGTATTTCTGCTTTTTTTTACTGTGCAGGACAAAGCAGTAGGTTCTCCTCAATACCATTACTTGCAGCTGTTTATACTTACTTGCCTGATACTCATCAGCTACTCTGTTCAGCTGCAGGACCAAGGAGAAGAATACCTGTATTAACAGTAGAGGTTGGTCACATTGAACTGGACTTGTCTGTAATTTCGAAGATGTTTCGTAACTTGACCAAGCCACTTCTTCAGTTCGAATGGGTGCACCTGTACCTTGATCCAGTCACACCTCCCATCCTATTCTTAGACAATAACATCTTCCTTTCCATTTTGATTGGATCAAGTTGGTGAACATAAACGCTGGGGTATCTTCTTAACACTCATCAGAACTGTGGCTTGGAAAAGCCTAGAAATGTCTTCAACACTACAGAACAAGTCCAGTTGAATGTGACCAACTACTACTAGCTATGCCATCACCTGGATAATGGAGAATCTTCATAGACAACATCTGTATTAGTTCCAACTTGGAGCTTAAGCTGGCCATACACAGCTTCATCCTGGCTTGGTCAAAATTTGAGGAGCGTGAGACCCTGCTGGCACCATTCCATGCAACAAAAAGTTGATTGTTCAGTCAACTTTTGTCAAAAGCCTGTCAAGAAATTGTTGGCCGAAGAACACCTGCAAGCAAATACTTCCCTTAAAATGAAGCCTTCCAGCGGTGCACTGTCCCTGCTCACAGGGCTTCTATCTTCATCCAGCCTTCCTTCTGGGTTCGTGGGCTCCGGGCTGTCTCACTGGCCGAGCCACAATTACATCACTCCCGCACATGCGAGTTGGGAGTGCTGGGCATGGCACAGAGCTCTGAAGGAATGGCATGCGTACGCCATTCCTTCAGAGCGCATGCGCTGGTGACGTCACCGGCTGCCGCTAGCTGGAATATTTTTTAAACTGTGCACATTTAGGAGATATTCATTTTACCCACAGGTAAGCTTTATTGTAAGTTTACCTGTAGGTAAAAATAAAGGTAGAGAGTTTACTACCACTTACTCTCTAGGGGTTTTGGAGTTTTACTTGGGAATGATGAACTTGGATGGAGTTGGGAGCATGGGATACCCCCGAACTGTACAAACTGGAGAACAACAAATAACGCTGAGGACTTGCTAGGTCTTTGGTTGTTCTGTAATAAGATCTAAGCTGTATTGAACAGCTGTGGGAGTGGTAGTACAAGTAGTAGTAATCCCAGCAAAAGTAGAATGGTGACACAGCACCTGGCTGTATTGCACTGCACCTGGCTGTTCTAGTCCTGTAATTGAGAAGTGGTGTGCCCCCTGGCTGTCTTGCTGTGCACTGGGTTACACCTGGTCCTGACCCATGAAGTATTGCAATTCACTGTCTCTCCTCCCTTGCTTAATACTCACTCAGTCCCAACTTCTCTTCCACTGCTGACAGGCTGTTTGTGGATTGATTGATTGAAGGCTGATGGGTCATAAGCTTGGTTTGGTCTCCTGGGGCTCTCCTCTTCCCCTTTCAGCCCCCAGCACAGGGGTCCCTTCCAGATGACTGGACCCTGGACTCTCCTCCCTTGTCACTCAGGCATCAGACTGCTTATAGGTGTAATGGTGGAAGCACCAGAAATATTTAAGCTGCAATCTCTGTCCCTTCACCCACTATGTTCTGGAAACCTCCAGTGAGTTCCAGAACACAAGGGGAGGTAGCAGAGCTGCAGCCTGTGAAAAAACTGAGCAGCCCTGACCAATTGAACCCCACTTCACTGACTATAGTGCAGCCCAAATACTAAATTTACCTAGCAACCTAACTAATTAGGAGGGTGCTATACTGACAAAGCCCATTTCTGATTGGTTTTCTTTAAATCACAAGGGACACCAAACCTATGATGCTCTTTGTGCAGCTTTATGAGGAAAGCTTGAATCTTCACATAGGTGGAGCAGAATGATCCCGCCAACCCTAGGTGGTTCCAGGATATACATATGATCAATGTTTGTGGCCTGGCAAAATAAATATTTCTTAGTATGTTTCTTAGAATTTAGAGTACGAATATAAACTGTATCCAAAGAAAAAACCCATTGGAAACTTGAAGGCCATATGTATGTCTCTAATGTGTTTCTTAAATTGTTTCTATTAAATACAGTGGTGGGAGACATATTACTGTCACTGGTTCAAATCTGGATGTGGTGCAGGCTCCACATATGACTGCCGTGATCAAGTCTTCTTCAGAAGAGCTTCAGAATGGAGAAAGTAATCGCAGAAGGAAGAGGAGGAGAAGAAGAAGAGAACTAGGGCACAGTATTGTGCAAGAGGTAAGCTATTCTTCTAAACTATAATGCCTAGCTAAAGGAAATAAGAGGTTTAAAGAAACTGTCACCTTACCCATACACAGGGCTTTTTGTTCAGCAGGAACTTGGTGGAACTCAGTTCCACCACCTCCAGCTCAGGCCCTCTGCTCCCTGCTCACCATGAACACTTGTAAACACAGACGTCCGGCTTCTGTGTTTACAAGTGACAGCTTGCCTCACTGTGGCTTCCACATATCTGATCTCCTGAGTGGCTCCCACTGAGTGCAGGAATGGGACAAGTGAGATGGAGGTGCCCAGGTTGCAGTGGGTGGGAGGGTAACAACACGTGGTAGGTTGCAGCCTCTGTGATCTCCATTTTTTCCCTGGTGTCCAGATGCCAATGCCCCCACTGAATGATCTCCCTGCAAATGAGAGAGGCAGAGCCACCTACAGTGTTCAAGGAGATACTAGAGTTGGCAGGGTGCTTCAGCTTAATACGGCAACAAAAGTAAGACAGATGTAAGATGGTGGAGCATTAAAGGAGGGGGGACAAGATGAGGGCAGTAGAAGAGGGGTTGTGTGGGGGTCAGAGCTGAAGAGGGGTGAAAGTGAGATGTGAATGAGAGATGCAGAGGTTAGCAGCCGTGGAAGAGAGCTGAAATTTGCACTTTGTGTGTAGCATACTCCTGAAATCTGCACTTTGTACGTATTGCACCCCTGAACTCTGCATTCTGTGTGTAGCACACCTCTGAACTCTTCAGTCTGTACAGCGCACCCTTGATCTTTGCACTCTGTATGTAATGCACTCCTGGTATTTAACGCCCCTTTAAGACCCTTCTATTGTTAGTGACATTTGGCCAAACCTACTTTTTGATGTGGTGTGGAGGTTGTGGGGCATGGTTAAGGTCCTGCACCTGTTCTCTGACCAAAAAAAGACTACTCTCTCAGAAAGATATGTTCACCTATCCATGCTCCCATGCTACCCACTTTCCCCTGTCACGCTGACAACGCGGGGCATCTGGTATAGAAGAGCATTTGACCTTTCCCCTGAGTCAGTCCCAATTAACAGGCCCAAAATGATAACTTTTTTGGGAATTCGAATCCTCCTGGGTTAGCGTCACCACCATCTGAGCTTTCTCAGGGTGGACTCCTACAGCGGGGAATGAAGATGAGTGAGTGTACCTTACTTGGGGAGGTTGGGCTAGCAGGAGGCTCTATTATTCTCCCAGAATGGCCGAGTGACAGTGTTTATTTAATCCACTGAATTTTTTGGATCTCCAGCTATTGAACACTGTGGACTATCACTGTACCTTTATCCAGGTAGTAATGCCTTAGACTTAGAATTCGCACGGTATTAGCGAATGATGTAGCCTATTTTAGCATCACTTACATCAGCTGGTCAGTATATGGGCAGATCATAAACACCAATGACTACTTTCAGTGCTCACATATTGGAAAATCTCTTTGGTCTTTGTCCACTTGGCACTTGTCTCAATTTCTCCATAATAAATAGAGTTGGTCCTTATGTGTAAGGCATATTGCAAAATTAGAAAGGTTTGGGTGAGATCTAGTGAAGCAAGAGTCATACCTTGGCCTCATATTACCCTTTCTTTTCTGATAGACCTTGACCATGCATGGTTGCCCTAAGTGTTATTGGTTCCTGTTTGTTAAATAGCTCAAGGTGTGCTTTCAGAGCCTGTAGTAAATAAATCAAGGGTAGGATTTAAGGACTGCTGCCTCCATTGGCACCTGCAGCCATAGAGCACTCCTGCCATTGGCAACAGGATGGTGTGTAAGGCTGGAGGGATTGAAGCTTGTAAAATAAAGCTCCACGGGTCTTAGACTTCTGAAGGTGAGGTCCCTGTTTTTTAATCATGTGGTCGGTGTATATATGGGATGTGGTGAAGATCAGTTGGTGTTCATTTCTTTTGAATGCAGTCTTATACCTTTTCAGTAAACTGTTAAATTAGCATATTTCCATTACCCATTGCAACCATAATTCAGATGAGTAAAGAATGGATTGCGGGGAATTAAACCACTGCACATTTTACTCCTTAGGAAAGGATCACTATGTTGTTAGATTGTGGGATTGAGTTCCTAGAACTTTCTGTATGTCTTCACAGACTCTATATATCCTCTTACAGATTAGTGAACAGTGCCATCACAACTCCTCCACAGCCATGCAGTGTCTTTCCCCTGCCATTCCTGAAGACGCCATCATCGTTGATGTGCTGTTTGTCCTGGACAACATTCATATTCCATTCAGCAGTCTCGGGGAGAATTTCACCTACATAAAGAACCCAACTCTCAAACCTCTAAATAAAGACAACCCCAGTAAACCTTATAGCCTGAAGCCCGGGAACGTGCTGGATATAGAGGTAATCTAGATACAACCTCATTATTTCTTCTACTAACATCTTGCTAGCAAATGTTGTCTTTCTCCAGAGTATTCCTCCAACATCAGATGTCTATTTTATTTCCCAATAGGGAGAAGACTTGGACTTTGGGATTGATAAAGAAGAAGTTCGAGCAATGATTGGGAATGGCATCTGCACAGTGAAAACTCTCACCCATAACCACTTGTACTGCGAGCCTCCACTTACTGCGCCCCAGCCGCTGGATGGAAGTGCCCCTTTGCCTGAATTTGTGGTTAGTATACTTAGCCCTTTCAAGCCATTTTTTTTTTTCCACTTCCATTTTTTTGCACAAATGTTATAATATACGTTTTAGGCCTGAAGATTAGCTGAAACTCCCAAACATTTTCTAAAAGGAGAGGCAAGTTCATTTTAAGGCACACAAACACAATTTATTAAGCATTTTTTGGTATAATATAAAAAAAAAGTTGCATCATGCCTGTGAAATGGTTTAAAACTTCAGTGTCCAAAATTGCCATAAGCAACGATTTAAGACATTACAGGTCATCAGCTTAGTGTTAACCATGAATAATGGCCCTAGAATTTATGTTTTGATTCCAACATTTGCAGTGATACCTAATACTTATGGTGGAATCAGTCTTTTTGTATGCAGGCGCACCCGACGTATGTGTGTGCACATGGGGGGGGTGTTTACATTTTTTTTTTTTTTATTGATTTACTGTACCTTTTTAATTTTGTCGCTCTTGCTCACAGAATTTTTGTGGACTGAATGGTGTCATCCCTGCCCAGTCGACTCATTTTAAGCGACTCAAATCCTCCTCAGGTGTATTTCCTGCCCAGGAGCCACTGGTACTGCATACACCTTTTGAAATCAATTGCTGTACGTGGATATACGCTGGCACTTGTGTAAACATGTGCATGTGTATACATGTACACCCCTGGGCTCAGGCTGTCTACGTCCAGGGTCATATGTCTGTATGCATGTTTAAACAACCAGCAACGTAGGCGCAGCCATTGATTTCAGTGGGTGGCTATACGCAGCACCAGTAGCTCTTGGGAAAGGAAATATTCATGAATTTTACATTGTACATCCCCAGCGCCTGTGTGTGTTTAAGACCTGTTGTCACCATCAAAAAAACCTGCCCTGAGATGCATGCCATGCAACCATTACTGGTCTGCAGGTAGACAAGAATTGGCTGCAGGAGATTGGCAGCACTGAGATGTAACAAAGGATGAACAACATGAAAACAAGTGTATTTACACAGCTTTGACCAATTGTGCTATACCTCTGGTTTATTACAGAAGAATGAGGGTTGTAGCTGGGCCTGTTGGGCATCCTCCGGTTCCTAGGCTCCTGCCTAGGTTGCCTTGTGGAAGATCCAGCTCTGACAGAAAGTACAATTGTGTGATAAACCAAAGATGTCTTGTCTTCTATATTACATTTTGAAATGTTTTTTGTGTTTCACAGATTCACATGGGGAATCTTCGCTTCAACCTTGGGCAAGTGAAATACGATGTAGAGGGCCAATCTAGTTTTCCAAAGGAGGCCAAGATTGGACTAGGAGTTGGTGCAGCTTTGCTTGTTCCTGTTGTCTTAATAATAATTTTCATGTACAGGTATGTGTTAAATTGGTAGATTTTTTTTGTTTTTCATTTTAAGGGGCCTATGTACAAAACATTTGTTCTGTGGATTTGACAGACATCTGAACATTTAGACCGAAAAATCACAGTATTTTCTCTAGTATATATAGTCCCTATATCACCATTGCCACCTAATGGCCAGCATGTGTTTCTTTTTCCATTAATTATTTAATTTCAGATACTTCTATAACGCCATCAATTTATGCAGCGCTTTACATATATATTGTACATTCACATCAGTCCCTAACCCTCAAGGGGCGTACAATCTACGGTCCCTAACTCCCATTCATACATACACATACAAGGGCCAATTTAGACAGGAGCCATTTAGCCTACAAGCATGTCTTTGGAGCGTGGGAGGAAACTGAAGTACCCAGAGGAAACCCACGTAGGCACAGGGAGAACATGCAAACTTCAGGCAGGTGGTGCTGTGGTTGGAATTCGAACCAATGACCCTAGTACTGTCCTAAATCCGTAAAAAAAAAAAAAAAAACTAATCGTGTCCACTAATGTATATTTTTCAGAATACTGCTTAGGCACAACTAACACTTCCAGATGTTCCTATTCCCTATAACTTAGCACATCTTTATTTTTGAGTTCAGTTCCCCTTTATGATTGCAGCAGTCAAAGTGGTCTTAAACCAGCGAAATAACTTCACTCCTCACTTAAAAGTGACATTTAGCGCTCTCTAGCCTATTAGTACCATTGAGAAAACTCTGGGTACCAGCAGCCCCAGATCGGGGACAGGTCTTATGTAAGGCAGAGCCTCTGACTGGCTGCTCATTTTAGCCTAAAAAAGATGGGTTTTGCTATAGGCACAAGTGTGTAGGCAGGTGCAGTCTATTTTCTCCACTACAGATGGCGCTGTTCCAGAACGGCAATGCAGCTGGAGGAGGAAGTCCAGGGAAACTGTTGTTTCTTTTTGATTCCCTCAGTCCCCTGAGGCAGAGTCCAAATTGGCTACCCTGGATCCAGGTGACCCTTGCGGCCATGTTGGGTCATGCAGAGTCTTTTTAAGTCCCTGCCCCCCAGGTTTTGGTGAAGTGGCTAGTGTAGGGAAAGCATACCTATCTGTCAGGGACTGCACTAACAGCAGGAAGAGGTTACAGAGGAGTAGGGAAAGCTTAGAGCCTACGTCTGAAACTTCAGAATGCACCCCTTCTATGTTGGACCAGCCAGGCCCCATTCTGCTCTCCTTGGCAGGGACTGTCTTTAGATTGGGCCTACTCACCGCTGCCTTTCCACACCATTGGTTGTAAAGTTCACGGTTGGGTGAGGTTCCCCACCTGGATGTTGTACTGTTTATATGTTCTACAATACTGTACATAATTTCCTGCATTCCAAGCCTCTGTGTGTTTACTACCAAGATTTACGTACCCAACAAGTGGACTAATAATTGTGAAATAATCTGAAATTGGCTTCTGACTGGCCCTTTTAGACCTACCTGGGATAAAATTGTAATGATTGCTGTTTTCCAGGAGGCAGAGTAAGATGGCAATGAGGGATTATAAGAAAGTTCTTGTCCAACTGGAGAACCTAGAGACCAGCGTGGGAGATCAGTGCCGCAAAGAATTCACTGGTATTGTCCCGTTCTTTGAGTCTACCAATGGCCTCAGTTCAGTTTCGTAACCTAATCATCTTGTCTTGCCTTCTGTCCATTTTCAGATCTTATGACGGAAATGATGGACCTCACTAGTGATATTGAAGGCTCTGGCATTCCCTACCGAGACTACGATAGCTATACTGAAAAGATATTCTTCCCTGGTGATACCGTTTCCCCTTTACAGAAGAATTTGGACGTTCCAGAGAACAGGAGGACCACTGTGGAACAAGGCCTGAACCAGCTCTCCAACCTTCTCAATAACAAGCTAGCTTTTCCTCACCAAGGTGCAAAAAATCTACAGTCTGTATCCCTTTAGCAATCCTGTCATCATAACCCATGTGATCACGGTTATGTATTTATAACCATGTCTGTGTGCAATTGCCAGCTGTAGTCACTGCACACATGAGATGAAGTCCACCTGGGTGCACTACAATCAGAAAACATCAATAGATCAACAGGTGGAGGTTGAGGTACTCACAGGTCTTGCAACCAGGAAACAGGTTTTTATTGTGTCTGACGTTTGGCTGGGTCCCTGCCCATCTTTATCAATTCAACTACGACTTAAATTAAAAATAAACAGAAAGTGAAAACCATATGGTACCTTATATTTCCTTGATAATACCATCCCATAATCTATAAATACCATGAAAGGTACCTACCACAAACATTCCCAATCAACAGTGTTGTGGGTACCATTCATGGTAATCAACTACATTAATTGTGCAAACCTATAGTTTTTGTGTGTGTGTGTGTGTGTGTGTGTATATATCATAGGCACTCACAGCATTCGAAAATAGGAGCATATGTAAGAAAGAATATAAAAGACAGCTGACGTTTTGGTGGGGCAAAGGAGAGCTTTATTATGTGTTGCATATCAAGTGTATTAAATTTTTGGTTGCATCGCACAGTAAAGCCTTCCTAAAAAGGAAGGTGTTCATGTGTTATTTCATCACATAATCCCCCAAAATTAAAAGGATTATTTTTAATTTCAGGACAATGAGTGGAGCCTTGCAAATCATTCGTTTATGCCTTAAATAGCTAGACACACATCTCAGAACTGCTGGCGTATAGTGCAAAAAATCTTTGGGTCTGCCAATGGCCTCAGTTCAGGTTCTTGACCTGATCATTTTAATTTGCCTTCTGTCCATTTTCAGATCTTATGGTCATTAGAGATGCTGAAGGGTCTGGAATTCCTTACTGAGAGTGCAACGCCTATATTGTAAATTATATATACAAGATGGTGGCACCTGCACTCCATCCAAAACACTGCCTTGGTGCTGCACAGATATGGCAGACATAATGGACAGTCTCAGGACTTTCATAGAACAGGACCAATCAAAAATTATATTTATTTCACAGATTTTTTGGCAGTGTTTGAATTTAAGGGTTGTTTTGGTTTATTTGACATAGATGAGCCTCATATTCCCCAACAGGTATCAGTATATGTCAAAAATGTGGAGATCTGTTGTATTTGTCATAAATAAAACACAGCTGAATATGTTAGCCATTTTAGAGTTGAGACTGTTGAAATGAGGCTTGTCAGCTGTGACCAGCCTGGCTAATGAAATGATTCCAGCATAAATGATACGGTTTGAGGTGGAGAAGAAGGCAGCTTTTGCTGTATGTAGTGCTCTGCAGTCCTGCTGAAATAAGTTGTGATGCCTATTGTGGTGAGCATTTATAAATCCGATGATCCTAGGGGTTGTTGGAAACATTTGACCTCTTGTCTTCTTCTTGCAGCTCATCGAGACGTTGGATGCCCAGTCCACGTTGTCACAGCGCGATCGTTGTCATGCCGCATCTTTACTTACTGTGGCACTACATGGCAAGCTGGAGTATCTCACCGATGTCATGAAGACTCTTCTGTCTGAATTGATAGACCAGTGTGTGGCCAAGAACCCAAAACTGCTTCTTCGCAGGTAAAATGTCCAAGCAATGACCACGATGGGCAGAAAAAGTCAATAATTTGAGCTCAGCGAGCAGATGTTTTGACTTGTGGTTGCAGTTTCTATCTTTAAAGTAGTGTTTTAATGTAACTTTCATACATTTAATTATAATGTGCTGCTATTTAACAATAAATGTAGAGATTTGAAGATTGGCTGTTAGTGGGTTCTCTCAATATCTCAGTTGATTTGATGCTAACTGCCAAACAACTATTGAGGTATATATCAGCCACTTAGGGAGTGTATTGCTTTTAGTGGGCGAGCTGACCTATACACTCGCATTCTGAGATGGAGCAGTAAAGCAGAACCATTGGGAATGATTTACTAAAGGCAAGTAGGCTGATTACTTTGCAAAGGCATTTTCCCTGAACTTAGCAAATCAGGTGAAGGTCTGCTGACTTCCATCATCCAATCCTGTGCATGAACAAAATATGTGATTGGGTATTCAATGCAAAGTGAATATTGACCAAATTCCGTAAGCTATGGGAAACCACCTATTTGCAACCCCATTGTGTGGCACAGTAAAACAAAACTGATTGGATGGTGGCTGACCGTTATCTGCCGGGCCAATCCAGTAAGCTTTCAGAAGTTAGAACTATCATCATAATGAAGGAAGGTTTGTGAGTGTTATAATGCAGCCACAGGCCAGCATTTCAATAAACTTTATTAATCCAGGTGGTTTACACAAATCGTGCCTGCCTCTTCCTGTGCTGATGCATTTCACCTTAAGAACAGGCTTGGTTTGTAGCAGGGCCATCATAATAGCATCATGGACCCCTGGACAAAGTAATGCATGGGGCCCCTATCAGCCTGCCCCAATTTATGCACCTACTGTCAAGTATTAAAGTAGTCAGGAGGGCACAGTACAGGAGGAGTCAGGAGGGCACAGTACAGGGGGAGTCAGGAGGGCACAGTACAGGGGGAGTCAGGAGGGCACAGTACAGGGGGAGTCAGGAGGGCACAGTACAGGGGGAGTCAGGGAGGGCACAGTACAGGGGAGTCAGGAGGGCACAGTACAGGGGGAGTCAGGAGGGCACAGTACAGGGGGAGTCAGGGAGGGCACAGTACAGGGGGAGTCAGGGAGGGCACAGTACAGGGGGAGTCAGGGAGGGCACAGTACAGGGGGAGTCAGGGAGGGCACAGTACAGGGGAAGTCAGGGAGGGCACAGTACAGGAGGGGTCAGGAGGGCACAGTACAGGAGGGGTCAGGAGGGCACAGTACAGGAGGGGTCAGGAGGGCACAGTAGAGGAGGGTCAGGAGGGCACAGTACAGGAGGGGTCAGGGAGGGCACAGTACAGGAGGGGTCAGGAGGGCACAGTACAGGAGGGGTCAGGAGGGCACAGTACAGGAGGAATCAGGAGGGCACAGTACAGGAGGAATCAGGAGGGCACAGTACAGGAGGGGTCAGGAGGGCACAGTACAGGAGGGGTCAGGAGGGCACAGTACAGGAGGGGTCAGGAGGGCACAGTACAGGAGGGGTCAGGAGGGCACAGTACAGGAGTGGTCAGGAGGGCACAGTACAGGGGGAGTCAGGAGGGCACAGTACGGGAGGGGTCAGGAGGGCACAGTACAGGGGGAGTCAGGAGGGCACAGTACAGGGGGAGTCAGGAGGGCACAGTACAGGAGGGGTCAGGAGGGCACAGTACAGGAGGGGTCAGGAGGGCACAGTACAGGAGGGGTCAGGAGGGCACAGTACAGGAGGGGTCAGGGAGGGCACAGTACAGGAGGGGTCAGGGAGGGCACAGTACAGGAGGGGTCAGGAGGGCACAGTACAGGAGGGGTCAGGAGGGCACAGTACAGGAGGAGTCAGGAGGGCACAGTACAGGGGGAGTCAGGAGGGCACAGTACAGGAGAGGGGTCAGGAGGGCACAGTACAGGAGGGGTCAGGAGGGCACAGTACACAGGGGGAGTCAGGAGGGCACAGTACGGGGGAGGGGTCAGGAGGGCACAGTACAGGGGGAGTCAGGAGGGCACAGTACAGGGGGAGTCAGGAGGGCACAGTACAGGGGGAGTCAGGAGGGCACAGTACAGGGGGAGTCAGGAGGGCACAGTACAGGGGGAGTCAGGAGGGCTCAGTACAGGGGGAGTCAGGAGGGCACAGTACGGGAGGGCTCAGGGAGGGCACAGTACGGGGGGAGTCGGGGAGGGCACAGTACGGGGGGAGTCGGGGAGGGCACAGTACAGGAGGGGTCGGGGAGGGCACAGTACAGGAGGGGTCAGGAGGGGCACAGTACAGGAGGAGGAGTCAGGAGGGCACAGTACAGGAGGAGTCAGGAGGGCACAGTACAGGGGGAGTCAGGAGGGCACAGTACAGGAGGGCACAGTACAGGAGGGGTCAGGAGGGCACAGTACAGGGGGAGTCAGGAGGGCACAGTACGGGAGGGGTCAGGAGGGCACAGTACAGGGGGAGTCAGGAGGGCACAGTACAGGGGGAGTCAGGAGGGCACAGTACAGGGGGAGTCAGGAGGGCTCAGTACAGGGGGAGTCAGGAGGGCACAGTACGGGAGGGCTCAGGGAGGGCACAATACAGGAGGGGTCGGGGAGGGCACAGTACAGGAGGGGTCGGGGAGGGCACAGTACAGGAGGGGTCAGGGAGGGCACAGTACAGGAGGGGTCAGGAGGGCACAGTACAGGAGGGGGTCAGGAGGGCACAGTACAGGGGGAGTCAGGAGGGCACAGTACAGGAGGGGTCAGGAGGGCACAGTACAGGAGGGGTCAGGAGGGCACAGTACAGGAGGGGTCAGGAGGGCACAGTACAGGAGGGGTCAGGAGGGCACAGTACAGGGGGGTCAGGAGGGCACAGTACAGGAGGGGTCAGGAGGGCACAGTACAGGGGGAGTCAGGAGGGCACAGTACGGGGGGGTCAGGAGGGCACAGTACAGGGGGAGTCAGGAGGGCACAGTACAGGGGGGAGTCAGGAGGGCACAGTACAGGAGGGCACAGTACAGGAGGGGTCAGGAGGGCACAGTACAGGAGGGGTCAGGAGGGCACAGTACAGGAGTGGTCAAGAGGGCACAGTACAGGGGGAGTCAGGAGGGCACAGTACAGGGGGAGTCAGGAGGGCACAGTACGGGAGGGCTCAGGGAGGGCACAGTACGGGGGGAGTCAGGAGGGGCACAGTACGGGGGGAGTCGGGGAGGGCACAGTACGGGGGGAGTCGGGGAGGGCACAGTACAGGAGGGGTCGGGGAGGGCACAGTACAGGAGGGGTCGGGGAGGGCACAGTACAGGAGGGGATCGGGAGGGCACAGTACAGGAGGAGTCAGGAGGGCACAGTACAGGAGGAGTCAGGAGGGCACAGTACAGGGGGAGTCAGGAGGGCACAGTACAGGAGGGCACAGTACAGGAGGGGTCAGGAGGGCACAGTACAGGGGGAGTCAGGAGGGCACAGTACGGGAGGGCTCAGGGAGGGCACAGTACGGGGGGAGTCGGGGAGGGCACAGTACGGGGGGAGTCGGGGAGGGCACAGTACGGGGGGAGTCGGGGAGGGCACAGTACAGGAGGGGTCGGGGAGGGCACAGTACAGGAGGGGTCGGGGAGGGCACAGTACAGGAGGAGTCAGGAGGGCACAGTACAGGAGGAGTCAGGAGGGCACAGTACAGGGGGAGTCAGGAGGGCACAGTACAGGAGGGCACAGTACAGGAGGGGTCAGGAGGGCACAGTACAGGGGGAGTCAGGAGGGCACAGTACGGGAGGGGTCAGGAGGGCACAGTACAGGGGGAGTCAGGAGGGCACAGTACAGGGGGAGTCAGGAGGGCACAGTACAGGGGGAGTCAGGAGGGCAGTCAGTACAGGGGGAGTCAGGAGGGCACAGTACGGGGGGCTCAGGGAGGGCACAGTACGGGGGGAGTCGGGGAGGGCACAGTACGGGGGGAGTCGGGGAGGGCACAGTACGGGGGGAGTCGGGGAGGGCACAATACAGGAGGGGTCGGGGAGGGCACAGTACAGGAGGGGTCGGGGAGGGCACAGTACAGGAGGGGTCAGGGAGGGCACAGTACAGGAGGGGTCAGGAGGGCACAGTACAGGAGGAATCAGGAGGGCACAGTACAGGGGGAGTCAGGAGGGCACAGTACAGGAGGGGTCAGGAGGGCACAGTACAGGAGGGGTCAGGAGGGGCACAGTACAGGAGGGGTCAGGAGGGCACAGTACAGGAGTGGTCAGGAGGGCACAGTACAGGAGTGGTCAGGAGGGCACAGTACAGGGGGAGTCAGGAGGGCACAGTACGGGAGGGGTCAGGAGGGCACAGTACAGGGGGAGTCAGGAGGGCACAGTACAGGGGGAGTCAGGAGGGCACAGTACAGGAGGGCACAGTACAGGAGGGGTCAGGAGGGGGCACAGTACAGGAGGGGTCAGGAGGGCACAGTACAGGAGTGGTCAAGAGGGCACAGTACAGGGGGAGTCAGGAGGGCACAGTACAGGGGGAGTCAGGAGGGCACAGTACGGGGGGCTCAGGGAGGGCACAGTACGGGGGGAGTCGGGGAGGGCACAGTACGGGGGGAGTCGGGGAGGGCACAGTACGGGGGGAGTCGGGGAGGGCACAGTACGGGGGGAGTCGGGGAGGGCACAGTACAGGAGGGGTCGGGGAGGGCACAGTACGGGGGGAGTCGGGAGGGCACAGTACAGGGGGGGAGTCGGGAGGGCACAGTACTGAGATCAGAAGAGCACAGTATAGGTTCTGGGACGCTGCCTGGGGCATCCCAGGGCAGATTAGTAAAAAGCTTGACTGTCCCGACAAATCTGGCAAAGCTGACAAGTATGATACAATGCAAGATTAACTTGGGAGCCCCTGGGAAGTGCCCATGCATTAAACAGCCCTGGATTGTAGGGACACAGATGAACAGTACAAGCAAAAACTCTTTTTTTTTTTTATTTTCACTTTTTGTTATGGTGGGTAAGCTGAGATTTTTATTATCGAATACATGCACAAGAACCAATTGATCTCCCATAACCAATGTTGCAATAAGAGTGCCTCCAAAACAGGAGTGGGGAGACTCGAGGAAGATCCAGATATACAGAATACAGTAGGGGCGCCACACCAGTGGTATTGGAGTCTAGAGAGAGCGTTTATTTGGCATATTAACCCAACGAGTTTTGGGACTCGCACACTTTCCCAGGGGCTTGAGTCCGCTGTGACGTCAGCAATGCCTGCTTTCAAAGACAGTCTGAAACTATTTATAGATCTGTACCAGCAGATTGTGCAGCTTGAAAAGTTGGCGTCAGCATAATGGGTAGTGTGAATCCTAGCCCATTATGTTGTCCATAATGCTAACACTGACTCTGGTATCTACTACCATCAGGGGGTTGGGTCCCCTTACTGCATTCTTTATATCTGAATTTTTTATTGTGATCTCTTTTCCCGTTTAGGACATTCACTCTTTGTTTTCCTTGTGACCATTTTTGGGAAATCCAAAATATTCGAGTTGTCATCAGGAAATCTCCCACTTGAAAGAAATATTACGCTGGCAATTATCCAAGATGGGATTCCCCTCAATTTGAGGAAGTTTTCTCTCACTTCCTGTTGTGTCTCCTGGACAGGAAGTGAAAGTAATTCTTCATTCCATGACAGAAACAAAAAATATGACAAGTGTTTTACCCCTATTACTCGATCCAACAGTTTACAAAAAAAACAACGTTTTTGCTACACGTACACTTTAACAGAAAGGAGTGCCAACATTTATACACAACTGACATAGGACTAATAATGTGTTTTAAAGTTCCTGATACCATGATAACATTTTTAAAGCACTCCTTGTTTTGTATATTCGAACCACAGAGTGCTAAAAGTTGCCATATTTCTGTATAGTATTAAATGATTTGTTTCCAAAACTGACACTCCCACCCTAAATACATTGATCTTTATTATATACAAGATAAAAACCAATAATACATTTTTTTTTGTTGCTGAGTGATGGCCATGATGGGACACTGTTTGTCTGTGGCTTTGTTTCATAAATAAATCTCTATATGCATACTTTATCAGAATATCTTACTAGAAACTCCAATGTAGAGCTTCAGACATTTCCTATAATGTTTCACAGAAGTAGAGTGTAGTAGGAATGACATTATAGCCTCCTTCTTGTGTTTGTAGGACAGAAACCATAGTGGAGAAGCTGCTGACCAACTGGATGTCCATTTGTCTGCACTCTTTTCTTCGGGTCAGTGTCTGGTAACTGGTCACATCCATTTAACTTGTCTTCCCTAACTGGCCACATCCATTTAACTTGCCTTCCCTAATGGCCACCTTCATTTTACTTACCTAACTCAACTGGCCATATTCATTTAACCTTTCAACAATTCCAGGTCTTTGTTCAATACTAGAGATGCTCATAAAAATCCCCTCATAATAGATCTGGCACTCCTTCCTTTAGGTCAGTGACTGCTAACTGGACATATCCATTAAGCTTAACTGCTTTAACTGGCTACATCCATTTACCTTACCTACCTTAGCTGGCCACATCCATTTAACTTACCTACCTTAGCTGGCCACATCCATTTATCTTGGCTACCTTCCAACAGTTTTATGTCTTTGATTTAATAGAGGAGATGTTCTTCAGAACTCCCCTCCCTGTAGATACTCCTTATTTAGGCTCAGTGTCTGTTAACTGGCCACATCCATTTAACTTGCCTACCTTAACTTGCCATATTCATTTAACTTTCCTACCTTCCAACAGTTCCTGTTCTTTGGTCAATACAGGAGATGCTCATCAAAAATCCTCTTATTTTAGAACTGGCACTCCTTTCTTTGGGTCAGTGACTGCTAACTGGACATATCCATTAAGCTTAACTGCTTTAACTGGCTACATCCATTTAGCTTACCTACCTTAGCTGGCCACACCCATTTAACTTACCTACCTTAGCTGGCCACACCCATTTAGCTTACCTACCTTAGCTGGCCACACCCATTTAGCTTACCTACCTTAGCTGGCCACATCCATTTAGCTTACCTACCTTAGCTGGCAACATCCATTTAGCTTACCTACCTTAGCTGGCCACATCCATTTACCTTACCTACCTTAGCTGGCCACATCCATTTACCTTACCTACCTTAGCTGGCCACATCCATTTACCTTACCTACCTTAGCTGGCCACATCCATTTATCTTGGCTACCTTCCAACAGTTCTATGTCTTTGATTTAATAGAGGAGATGTTCTTCAGAATTCCCCTCCCTGTAGATACTCCTTATTTAGGCTCAGTGTCTGTTGACTGGCAACATCCATTTAACTTGCCTACCTTAACTGGCCACATCCATTTAACTTTCCTACCTTACAACAGTTCCTGGTCTTTGGTCAATACAGGAGATGTTCATCAAAAATACCCTTATTTTAGAACTGGCACTCCTTTCTTTGGGTCAATGACTGCTAACTGGACATATCCATTAAGCTTAACTGCTTTAACTGGCTACATCCATTTAGCTTACCTACCTTAGCTGGCCACACCCATTTAACTTACCTACCTTAGCTGGCCACACCCATTTAGCTTACCTACCTTAGCTGGCCACACCCATTTAGCTTACCTACCTTAGCTGGCCACATCCATTTAGCTTACCTACCTTAGCTGGCAACATCCATTTAGCTTACCTACCTTAGCTGGCCACATCCATTTACCTTACCTACCTTAGCTGGCCACATCCATTTACCTTACCTACCTTAGCTGGCCACATCCATTTACCTTACCTACCTTAGCTGGCCACATCCATTTATCTTGGCTACCTTCCAACAGTTCTATGTCTTTGATTTAATAGAGGAGATGTTCTTCAGAATTCCCCTCCCTGTAGATACTCCTTATTTAGGCTCAGTGTCTGTTGACTGGCAACATCCATTTAACTTGCCTACCTTAACTGGCCACATCCATTTAACTTTCCTACCTTACAACAGTTCCTGGTCTTTGGTCAATACAGGAGATGTTCATCAAAAATACCCTTATTTTAGAACTGGCACTCCTTTCTTTGGGTCAGTGACTGTTAACTGGCCACATCCATTTACCTTACCTACCTTAGCTGGCCACATCCATTTAACCAGCCTACCTAAACTGACCACATCCATTTATTTTCCCTACCTTCCAACAGTTCTATGTCTTTGGTCAATATTGGAGATGTTCGTCATAACTCCCCTCCCTGTAGATACTCCTTATTCTGGTAACTGGCCACATCCATTTTACTTGCCTAGCTTAACTGGCCACGTCCATTTATCTTATCTACCTTAACTGGCCACATCAATTTTAGCTTGTCTACCTTAGCTGGCCACATCTATTTACCTTACCTGCCTTCCAACAGTTCTATGTCCTTTGATCAGTTCAGGAAATGTTCATCAAAACCCCCTCCCTGTAGATTTGACATATAGGCTGTATGTTTATATCCATGCAGGAGGCAGCAGCAGAGCCCCTTTACATGCTGTACAGTGCCATAAAGTACCAGGTGGATAAGGGCCCAGTGGATGCTGTAACGGGGAAAGCAAAGCGCACTCTGAATGATGGACGTCTTCTACGGGAGGACATTGAGTACCGGCCGATGACCCTCACTGTTATAGTGAAGAATGGGATGGAAGTGCAAAGGGTGCCAGTCAGAGTACTGGACACCGACACCATCACTCAAGTTAAAGGGAAAATCCTGAATCATGTGTACAAAGGAACCCCCTTCTCCCATCGGCCTGCAGCACATACACTTGATCTGGGTAAGGCCAATTAAGATACCTTTAAAGCAGAGTTCAAGGCATTTGACTAAATACATATATGGGGAGCAGTTGTACCTGAAAAAGGATTGGCATTTTCTATCCATCCAGTCTTGAGAATTGCACAGCTTTTTCACGGACCACAACCTGTCTGATAAGTTTTTTTCTGCTGCAGTTAAGTAATACTCACTTCTGACATTGTTTTGACTTTCTTGATTTTCATACTTCTTGAGGTCTGTGCCACAAACAATATTGAAACCAGTGAGTGTGTAAGCATTGCAGCCAGGCAACTAAAATTTTTAAAAAGAGGTCAGTAATGGAAGTCCTCATCTTTACTAAAGAAATGCGTTGACCTGTGTTGTTTCCACAGAGTGGCGTGCTGGTCAAGCTGGCCATTTGACTCTATCTGATGAGGACCTGACGTCACAAGTTCAGGACCAGTGGAAGAGGTTAAATACTCTGCATCATTATAAGGTGAGGTGCGGGTCTTGTGTACGTATGTGTGAGTGTCTTCTGTCAATGGTAGTGGTGTTTCTGTCTTACAGTCTGTTTTTTGTTTTTCCTCAACAGGTTCCTGATCTTGCAACTGTGGCTTTGATACCACGATTACATAATAACCAATGTGAAACGCCAAACAACAGTTTCCTGAGTGGAGAAAGTGAGTGTGTGCCCCCCCCCCCCCTCACTTTATTTTTATGACCCTACCTAATGTGGCATCAGAACTTCCATCTGACAAGACTGACCTTTTTGAGGCTTTCTACAACAATAAGGCCCCCATAGCAGTGGCTTGGTACTGTCACCATTGTTGATCATTCCAGCAGTAAACTTGATGATTAGTCATCATCTTTTAACAAATTGCCAGATTAGTGATCCACGGGCACAAGTACTTTAACTGAAATATGTTCCTCAATAGCTACAAAGGAGATAAATCCACTCTGTGTGCACCAAATGCCTTTGTAAACCTGTACTGAACATAGCTTGTGCAGAAAGCAGAGTGCTAAATGGGACCCAGCAGATCTTACCACTACAGAAGCCATTCTTAACCAGAGTTTGCAGAATACATATGGTCTATTTTTACCTAAAGCTTAATTTAGCACAGGTCCGTGTAGATTGACAACTTTGTAGGTCACTACAGAACATGTTTGAAGAACTTTGTTTCAGCTTGCCTTTTGCCAATATTGAAGCAAGCCATCCACAGCACATTAGCATCAGGCTGAGGAAATTAGCATAGGTCTTCAGTCACCACTTAGCTCAGTGGGAGGGCATCTCAGTTTGGCAGAAGAAAGCACTCAAACCAAACTGAGCAAAGGACCAAATTGTGTCCAGCTGACATTTTTATGGCCTGACTGCTGCCTCTCCTCATCCAAATGTTGTTTTGTTTATGGAGAGCCTGCTATAGTGGCTTATCAGTGGAGCTTCAATGGTCTGTATCAGAAGAAAGAGCTCTACAGAAGGCCACCAAATGGAGCAAATGTACATAACATGCTGTAAATATTATGACAATACTGAAGTGGAGGTTGTATAGGTTAGTATTCTGATAGATGGACTTCTTTTTGGACAATAGTGGCCCTCCTGTAGACCAGCCTTTCTCAGCTAGGGTTCCTCCAGTGGCGGCTAGGAGTTCCTTGACCAATGGCGGACTGACCTTCCAGACTTGATAGTGCCTAAATAGTTCTGAGATCAACTTCACTTGGTAGAGACAGTGGCAAGCTACCAACACTGTTTTTGGCTGTCTGGAAGGGCGGCATTCTTCTCATTGACTATTATTATTATTATACAGGATTTATATAGCGCCAATAATTTGTTCAGCATTTTACAATATAACGGGAGACAATACAGCAACAATACAGTTCAATACAAGAGGGATAGGAGGGCCCTGCTCTTTGGAGCTTACAATCTAGGATGTAAGGAGGCATTTCTCCAATTACCACTAGTGTAAGGGAGTCTGTCTGTCTGTTTTTTGTTTTTTTTTTTTTTTCTGCCCATTATTTCTTTTTATTTTTGTGATTATCACTGTTAAATATTTTGTGATTATATCTGAAAATTATTATTAAATTCAGAGAAATGTGGTCTTAAAATTACCAACCATGAGTGTCAATTGTACGTTTTTTAACTAACTTACTAATATTGCTATACAATGAGTTGTAGAAATTATTTTTGCAGTGGTTCCCCCAAGACCTTAATTTTTTTAAGGTTTTATCTGGGGTTAAATGGTTGAGAAAGGCTGCCTGCAGAAAACTAAAGGAGGAGGTTGATGCAAGACCAGTCACCCTATACAAGATGGGAGAGCAACAGTGATTGGTCTGTATGACAGGAAGCTCCTGCACAAGGAGGCAAATTATTATACACAGATCTAGAAGAAATACACAAAGAGCACCAATATCTAAGTAAGGCAAAAAAATTGACAGTAGACAAGTTGGACCTTTTTAGGTATAGTATAAAAATATTTAATTTATATTAACATAATTATCAGTAATTTTTGCGTTTGGAGGGTGTTCCTTTGCTAATGTTCCATTATATTGCCCATGGTGAATGCTGCCTGTACACGCAGCCCCATATTAACTAGTGTTTGGCAGTTGCTGCCTTTTTTGGCTCCCACACCTGCTCTCAGGGAGAGACTTGCTACATCTTTGCCCACAAGTGTGCTCCCCTATGGAGCTCTCCTGCTTGCTCTTCTCACCTCCTAAAGAAGCAGGTGCTCCTGCAAAATGGATTGAGATTGCCCACCCATGGAAGACACTACAAGTTTAATATCTAATTGAGAAATGACATGGCCTTCAGAAACAAACATGCTTTAGTGCATATGTTTCTATGAGTGGGACTTTGAGGGCGTTTTTTGTGTGTGCACTAGTGTGTACATAATGCCTTTTTGATATATATGTGTTTTTATTGACAATTGTGTTAATCAAAATGAAATATTTTTTATACTTTGTTGTTATAATTGGTACCTCAACAGTCCAATTTTTATTCTGTGAATTTTTGGTCTACATTTTCAGAATGTTGGTGCCCTTGACTATCTTTTTATCTTCTACAGTGTAACATTCAAGTAAGAAAATACATGGCTCTTGTATTTAGACAGAATTTTTCATTCCAGATTTCAGTTGTAGGTTGTTGGTAGGTCTGTGGCAAGTAAATGGTTTGGAACAGCACAAGAGAGACCTGTCTTGGGTACTGCAAGAGCAGAAACACAACTCATTTGATCATACTGTGCTTCTTGATTTGTCCTCTTCTCTGAACTCTGGTAACTCTGCCACCTGTGTCTATAACAGAAACCCCAATGTTGGAAGATGGAGAGGAAGGTGGCATTAGAATGTGGCACCTGGTGAAGTCCATGGAAGAACCAGAACCATGCAGGAGGCGCAGCAGTTTGCGAGAGAGAGAGCGTGCCAAAGCCATTCCTGAGATCTACCTGACACGTTTACTCTCTATGAAGGTGAGAAGAATGGAACACTGCCCATGGTGGTCATGAGATCCAAGGGTGCAAAAAACAAGCACCAGACTATTTAACAGTCCACAAATGGTTTGTAGTGTCAGTTTAAAAGACAAATCATTTTGAGCAATGCTGAAACTATGGAGATCTTAAAAGGTATACGTTAGGAATTCCTGAGGTCTTTTGGGTGCTTTTTTTCTAATTGTGCTAATAATACTTTTAACACAAAACCCACCAATTCCTGTTTTTATACTTCTAGATCTCCTTAGGTTCAGTGTTGCTTGAGCCCTGCTTAAGAGAACCCTTGCCTCTGAAAAACGTGCTGGTTAAAAATGGATGCTACATACAATAAACTATCTCCATTATATATTATATAACCATTTAATAGTTATGTGCTTCTCTTTTTCCACTCTTAGATATATGTTACCCTCAGAAGTAAACCATGGGAGATGAGTCTACTGATGTACATCTAGCTGAACCCATATATTCATTGGGAATAGTCGATCCTCTTAAGGAAATCCAACCTCTACAAATAGATTTCCTTACTATAGTCACAAGATGGCAGGTGCCCAATCTAGCCTCTTTGCGGCTAAGTCTTGAGGTGCTAGATGTTGAATAGCTGTCCACACCAGCTACTTAATCTGTCAGGTTGGAAAAACTACCCCAGTCTCTTTTGTTCATGGTCGGGATAATATGGCACCAATAACAACAGCCATTGTCACGTTTAATATAGTTATGAGACGACAGGTGTCCAGTCTGGCCTTTTTTGAGGCTAGGATGTTGATAGACTAGGTCCTGAGGAGTTGGCCACACCAGCTCCTTTCAGCAGAACACCAGTCTGACAGGTTGAAAAACCTACCCTATTCCTTTTTTTTGTTAATGGTTGAGATAAGTGGACCCAATAGTGACGATCATTGCAACTTTTACTAGAGCCATGAGATGACAGGTGCCCAATGTAGCCTTTTTGGGGCTAGGTCTTGAGATGCTGTCAACACCAGCTACTTTCAGGGGAACTTCAATCTGTTGTGTTGAAAAACCTACTCCAGTCTTTTTGTTCATGGTTGATATAAGTGTCACCAATAGTGACGGTCATTGCCAATCTTTCTCTCTCCATTGCTGTAACTTCTCAACTGAACCAACCGTTCATTTTATGGAGGCTATGCCCTCACAAGTGGTAGGAAGTTCTCTGACCTGCATAGTCAACTGCCCTGCTGTTTCTGTTGGCTCCCTTAAAAAAATTTAAATAGTTTCATGGTCTTTGTGAGAAGCAGAGGATGAACCTAAACCTTTTTCTTCTTATAGGGTACTCTCCAGAAATTTGTGGATGACACATTCCAAGCCATGTTGGGGGTCAACCGACCTGTACCTATCGCCATCAAATATATCTTTGACTTCCTAGATGACATGGCAGAGAAACATGAGATTGAGGATGCTGAGACAGTCCACATATGGAAGACACACAGGTGTGTGTTTAGTTGGCTCCTTGAACCCTCCTTTTTACACTTTGTTATCCTCATGGCGTTTGCTTAAATCTCTTTATGTCTGTTTGGCTGCAGTCTAATGCAGAGGTTCTGGGTCCTTATTCTGAAAAATCCTCAAATGGTCTTCGATATTGATGTGTCTGAAAACGTAGACTCCATCCTTGCAGTCATCGCTCAGACCTTTATAGACTCCTGTACCATCTCTGAGCACAAAGTGGGCAGAGTGAGTATGAAATAGATAAAGGGAAGATGTGAGAGGGGGTCATAAGAACTTTCACTAATTTGTATTTCTATCAATTTAGGACTCGCCAGTCAATAAATTGCTTTATGCACGTGAAATCCCACGGTACAAGCAAATGGTTGAGAAGTAAGTGTTTTTCCACTACACTGCATATTATTTTGCATTTTCAAAGTGTATACAAGCTCTATTGATGAGCAAAGTTGAATATATGGGTCTCCACATTCTAGATAGATTAAGGGCCATCTCACCTATATGAACTTATTGGACATCCAATTCCAAAGCCATGGACATTGATATGTAGTTGCACCCCTCTGATGTTCTTGGAAAGCCTTCCATAAGACTGTGGGGTGTGTCTGTGAGAGCTTGTGCCCATTCATCCATGTAGATGCTTTTTATGTATTATTTGTGGCATCTTCCTTTTGTAGGGTTATACTGTTCTGTATGTATTTTTGCATGAACACAACCTGGGGTAATTCCAAGAAAGCTGGTCATTGTGTGGTCTTAATTGTATCTTTGTTAGGTACTATGCTGACATCCGGGAAGCCACTCCTGCCAGTTACCAAGAAATGAATTCCTCTCTCACTGAGCTGTCAGCGGTGAGTAGCACAATCATAATCACCAATCATAGAGCAATTCCCTGAAAAGCTATAATCACATGGTCTGCCCCATTTTTGTAAAAAAGTAAATATTTCTATCTCAAGTGTCATGTGGACACGCATGTTTGGCCAGCACAGATGAAAGCCTAACTCCAGGCAACACTTTTTTAAAATAAAATATTCCCCAAGCTGGTGCTTAAAATTAAAAAGCCACTCGGGCTGCAATACTCACCTCTTCTCCAACACTGTTCCTTTTATTAATCTCGTTATGCCACAGGAGGTCCTCAGTTTTTTGGATTAAATGACACCCAGTGCCACTTAACCTAGAACAATGATGAAATCCTGTGAGTGCCAGGTGTCAAGGATCTGTTCCCTCGGGGAGGAGGGACATAATGAGCCAATCCCCTGAGGAGGCATCATGAACCCATCCTCTGTGGGAGTATCAAGGACCCTGAGAGGGGCATCATGAGGTCATTCAGGTTAAATGACACCAAGTGTCAATCAACCCAGAACAATAAGCAGATCTTGTGAGTACCAGGTGTAATAGACTCATGTCCTGAGTGGGGCATCTTGGACCTGTCACATCCCCTGAGAAGAGCATCTTGGACCCATCCCTTGAGAGAGTGTCTTGGTCCTGTCCCCTGAGAGGGCGTCATGGACGCATCCCCCAAGAGGGCGTCTTAGACACATCCCCCGGGAGGGCGTCTTGGACGCATCCCCCGAGGGGGCGTCTTGGACGCATCCCCCGGGAGGGCGTCTTGGACGCATCCCCCGGGAGGGCGTCTTGGACGCATCCCCCGGGAGGGCGTCTTGGACGCATCCCCCGGGAGGGCGTCTTGGACGCATCCCCCGGGAGGGCGTCTTGGACGCATCCCCCGAGGGGGCGTCTTGGACGCATCCCCCGAGGGGGCGTCTTGGACGCATCCCCCGAGGGGGCGTCTTGGACGCTTCCCCCGAGGGGGCGTCTTGGACGCTTCCCCCGAGGGGGCGTCTTGGACGCTTCCCCCGAGGGGGCGTCTTGGACGCTTCCCCCGAGGGGGCGTCTTGGACCCCCGAGGGGGCGTCTTGGACGCTTCCCCCGAGGGGGCGTCTTGGACGCTTCCCCCGAGGGGGCGTCTTGGACGCTTCCCCTGAGGAAAAGAACTTAGTGTGTCACGTGACAGGCCCAAATAAATCAAGGATGGTAAGAATTGGGGGGTGAGAGTTGAACCCAAAGTGGAGTTTTTAAGATCTTGCTCACATCTATATGTACATATTGTAATGTGTTGTGATACATCAAAGATGCATGTTACCTGGCAGCCCATTGTTGTCAATGTTGATCTTTAAAGAGGCCCTGTCACCAGACCAAGACTGCTTTTGGGGGGTGCTGCCATATTGCATGTGATGTCAGCAGACTCCGAGCTGTCTCTCAAGTGACACTCTATGGTATTTCCTCCTCTTGTTATGAGTGAGTGTTTTCTGTTTATTCTCAGTCCAACTGACCTTTCTCCTTCCAGATTCATGCAGCAGATCTCAACTCCCTAGTCGCCCTGCAAGAACTCTACAATTATATCAACAAGTACTATGATCAGGTCAGTGGTTCACATGTATTGCTGGTTACTCTGGTCATTAACCCTTTTGCTGCCAGATCTGTTTTTTTATTTGCACACATTCAAACAAATAATTGTAGGCCTAAAGATTAGTTAAAATCCCAAAGCATTTTGAAAGCGGAGACCTTGGAGCATAAAATGGTGGTTATTCCAATTTTTATATGTCACATGATATGTGTGCAATGGTTTATCAAATGCAAATTTTCAGTAATAAATACACTAAGGGTAATTTTAGAGCACACAAACACAATATATTGTCTGAGATTTGGTAAATTATTAAAAGATAAGATTGTACCGAGTAAATAAATACCCAACATGTCAAGCTTTAAAATTGAATGTGCCTGTGAAATGGCAACAAACTTTGGTGCTTAAAACTTTTCATAGGTGTCTCTTAGATTGTAAGCTCCAAGGAGCAGGGCCCTCCTAACCCTCTTGTATTGAACTGTATTGTTGCTGTATTGTCCCACTTTAATTTGTAAAGCGTTGAGCAAACTGTTGATGCTATATAAATCCTGTATAATAATAATAGGTGTCAATTTAAAAACCCCTACAGGTCATCCGTTTGTAGCAGGGGTCTCCAAACTTTCTAAAAAAGGGCCAGTTTTCAGTCATTCAAATTTTAGGGGGGCTGGACTATGACCAGTGTGAGTATAAAATGCCTTGGTGTCAGAAGGAGTAGCCATGCCTCGGGTTTTGGTGGTCAGTGGGAGTAAAAAAAAAAAAAGTATATAGAGTTGCTAGTGTCTCGTCATTGGTGTCAGTGAGAGGAACAGTGTCCCTTCCTTGGTGTCAATGGGATTAATAGTGCACAATTCTTGATGTCAATGGGAGAAATAGTGCTGCATTATTGGTGTCAATTGGAGAAATAGTGCTCCAGCATTAGTGTAAATAGGAAGAATAGTGCCCCATTGTTGTCATCAGTGGGAGGAATAATGCCCCATTGTTGACATCAGCGGGAGGAATAGTGCCCATTATTGATGTCAACTGGAGAAATGGTGCACCATCATTGGTGTCAATTGGAAGAATGGTACCCCATTGTTAGTATCAGTGGGAGGAATAGTGCCCCATCCTTGGTGTCTGTTAGAGAAATAGTGCCCCATCGTTGGTGTCAACAGGAGAGGTTATGTCCCATTGTTGGTGTCAATGGAAGTAATGGTGCCTCATCATTGAATAGTGGTAGGAATTATGCTCCACTGTTGGTGTCAGTGGAAGGAATGGTGACCCTCATATCAATGGTAGGAATGATGATACCCCAAGGGCCAGAAAAGGGCAAGCAAAGGGTCACAGTTTGGAGACCACTGGTTTACAGCTAACTGTGAATAATGGCCCTAGAATCTTTGCTCTCACTCCGGCGTCTGTGGTGATAGGTATCACGAAGCTCAATCAACGTTTTCATGCAGAGTGTGTGTTTACGCTTGTATGTATATGGGGGTGAGTAGGGGGGCTCACAATTTTTATGAGGAGGGGGATTAAGGGCTTGAGTGTAACTTTTGTTTTTTGTTTTTTTTAATATGGAAACACTCTTTGTATTACATTTAGGACCAAAAGTGATACAATTTTATTGAGACATTGAGAGCTATTAGAACCTTGATGTCTCACCCTTCATTGAAACTAATGGAATACACATTTTCCCTGGCGGTTGAGAAAAGTGAAAGCCAAACTCATACGTGATGTAATGCACACAAAAGTAGACTCTCATCGGTCCCAGTTGAACCGTGCATCACATCTGCACATGCTTGGGTGTTTCTGTGCCAAAGGCTGGGAAGAACCCTTTAGCACATCTGTGCCCGCATCTATATGTATTTCCATTGCACACATTCCTGAAGTAGGCAAGAAGAAAATGGGTGCTATAGCAACCACCAGCTGGTGGCTGGCAACCTCATGGGTCAAAACATATGTCACCAGAACACCAGGGATCTTCCAGATAACATCCAAGCCTGAAAAAGGGTCCTGTTTGACCTTGAAACATTGCTGTTTATTGCTCTGATCACTTAAATAAACTATTTGGATGTTATTTTGAAGAACTTTGTGTGTTTGTAATATATGTTTAGACTAAGAAAGATGGTGGCGCTGAAGGTGGGTGGGAGGCAAAGCAAAAGGGGACTGAAGTTCCTATTTAACGTGTTCTATCTTTTCTTCTCCACAGATCAGCACAGCTCTAGAGGAGGATCCCAATGGGCAGAAGATGCAGCTGGCCTACCGTCTGCAACAGATCTCAGCACTGGTGGAAAACAAAGTAACAGACCTTTAATAACTCTGATGAATTGGTCACTTTGGTGAAGACTGTGGGACGTGTCATTGAGAATTTCAGGCCCTATGTTATGCTTTTAGGGAATAGTCAATGCTTCCACATGTTCAGAAGATCTGCAGTTTGGGAAAACTGGACTTGAACCCCACATGGAGGAGAGTTATTTGCTTCTGAATCAGTAATACACAAGTAATGCCAACTTTCTCTGCTTCACCCAGAATCCTTTGCTCTTAGCCCAGCAGTGCACTGCCTACCTCAGTGGAACTGTAAAAGTGCCTTAGTTTATTACACATTCTGGTTCTTCCTGTGGTCGGGCATGGCCGGGTAGGTCCTTCTGGAATCTGTAGAAGGTCATTGATGTTCAACAGCACATGT